CCTATCCATCTCGTTCCATTTGATGTCATCTGCGAAATCCACCGGCCTTTCATTGATAGCCGCTAGACACCCATCTTTCCTTGGGATGGCCTTCATCTTCAATTTCCACAATGAGAAATTTCTCCCATTGAACTTTTCAATGTCAAATTTTGTTGTCATAGCTTCTATTATTGATAGCTCCTACTATTTCACTATCGTGAATAGTTCTCTAGAACCTCAAAGAATGGGTAATACCTTCTTATTTTCTTATGTTGGAGGATCCATCTTTTGGTGGCAACCACAAAGACAATAAGCAGATATTACACACTCAAATCTGGCTCGAATACCAATTGTTGCACAAGACGGCTATCGGATAGAGCAAAATCGCAACTGATAATTTGAGAAAATAAAAATGAAGATAAAAGAGACACAAAATTTACGTGGAAAACTCCTAAAAAATTTAGGGTAAAAACCACGGGCAACGGTAGAAGAATTTCACTATGAGAAAAATAGGAATTACAACCTCTCTCGATCTACCAAGGAGAAAACAATGATAATTCTCTCTTGATAAAAAGGAGAAAACAATGATAATTCTCTCTTGATAAAAAGGAAAAAACAACTCTCAAGAAACTCTCTAAATTCTCTCTAGTATTGGAAGAAAGCTAGAATGCTTTGGGATGGATTTGAAGCTAAATAAGCTAGGGTATTTATAGTTGAAGCTTTAAGGACTAATTTGTAAATACCCTAAATTACAATGATTAATTGCATAGTTTTACCATCCAAAATTTTTAACAATTTGGTGGCCAAATTTGACCAATTTTGCCACCCATTAATGCCACCAAATTACCACCCATAATATTGACAATTAATGCAATTTGGTGTGCCAATTTTCAACAAATTAGACGCATTCTTTCGAATCGATACTTAAACATTAATTTTATCAATATTTTTTGTATTATTATTATTTTGATAAAAACCGTTAGTTTTATTAAAAAAATACTCAAAATTACAATGAATGTTTATTATCATAATCGTAAACTAAATATATAACTAAGATATTTTTCTATAACCATTAACACAAAAAACTAGTCACTTTAGATCATACAAGGACCGCATAAGAAAATTGTTAAAAATCTAACCAAAATACTCGAATAAAAATATATATTAATAGATCTTATTGTATCGGCAAACAAACCATAAAAGATAATGAAAACTACTAAAAGATAACCGATAAACTACATATCAGTGTTGATTGACGCGAGAAATTGTCCACGAATACAACAATGTATCTCAATTCAATCCGAGGGGATAAATCAGAGAATATCAACATTATAACAAATAAGCATCATTTTGATTAGTTGGGTGTTGACGAAAATAATGATCAAATGATCGAAAATATGCTAAAAGACATAAGAAAACGTGTTGAAAGACAAAATAAAACATGTCATAAAGACAATAAAAACATGCTACAAATGCAAAATTATTTAAAAATAAAACTAAAAATAAAAATAAAATTTTAATATAAGAAAATAAGTGAAAGCAATAAATATCGACGATCAACGATCAACAATCAACATTAAAACTAATACCACCGTCGATTAAAAAAATAGAAAAGGGAATTAGCGGCGTAAGAAAGAAAACCTAGGGGAAAAACCCTAGAGAGCGAGCATATTTTTACAGTTATTATTTATATATTATTCAATAAATAAAACTATATATAATCATAAATCAATATACAAAATCTTTATCATTCTACTTATGGTAATTCGTAATCATAATTTATTAATTAAAATTTAATAAATATTTTATTTTGCCTACAACCGGGTATTACAAAATCTAATATTTTTGTATTAGGATTAATTTTGTATTCATATTTTAATTTATTTAACAATTATGAAAAAAGATTGAACATAAAAAAATACCGACGCTAATTGAGATAATTTAAATTGAACATAAACTATTTACGTCTTGTGTTATAGTATAATTTTATTCAACTAAAATTATCGTGTTCACATATATATATATATATATATATATATATATATATATATATATATATATATATATATATATATATAACTTTGATTCTTGTTCTTGAAATATTTTCGTATAATTGTAATTTATTATTGTCTGATATATTGAAATTCTTACCATCTATATATGATTTTCTTCGTTTACATTTTTTAACCAAATTCACATGTCATTATAATTTTTTCCTTTATTTATGATAATTATAAAGTATTGAAAAAGTAATATCTAATAATTATAGAATTTTAATTTTAATACTTAAATCTTTTTTCACATTACTCTATTTCGTAAAAGCTAAGTATAATGTAAAAATTAGTCCTCTTACATTTATTAAAATGTTCTTTGGTCTTTATTTTTGAACATTTTGACTACACATGTTTCATTAAGGTAAAAAAACTCTTAATGTTTAACCAAATTGTCAACTAGCGATTTCCATCTGTATAGAGATCTTTTTGCTTCAAAATAAAACGTTGAGGGACTATAATGTTAAAAAAGGATAAAAACCAAATTGATTATTTAATCAAACATTAATAAAATTACTTAACATTATGTCAAAATAATAATAGAGTTGAATATTATTTTGGCTCTAATTGCATCACGTGACACTAAAGCATAATATATGTTAAATTAAAAATTCAAAAGAATCATAAAAAATAAAAGACAAATAAAAAAAATCATGAATTGTCTATTTAATAAATTGAGTTTTTAAAATGTTTTTTAATTAATTTTGTTACAATATTTTCAAATTTAATATATAATATGTGCTATGTGGCACATCCTTTGATTGTTATATGATTTTTTTGTACTGAAAAAAATCGATTAGAATAACATGCATCGTGATTGGAAAGTTTATCGGTTAAATTAAACGAAAAATTATTTAAGTATTAAAATATAATAAAATTCAATATTAGGGGCCAAAATAACATTTAACCCATAATAATATATGGAGTACATAAATAATAAACAATGTCGGGTGTTTGAAGTGAGAGAAAAAATAGAAAAATAAAATAAACGTACATATTTAGTACCTAAATTATTTTTTTGTCTTATTTTGGTATTTAAACTTTTATTTATTTTAAAATTATACACAATGTTTATTTTTTATTTCGTTTCGATACCTTACAACATGACACATTTTTATGGGTAAATTATATCATTAGTCAATCAATTATCTTCTTACTTTTATTTTGGTCATTGAGGTTTAGTTTTATTTAATTTAATTATTTAACTCTCAAATTACTCTTAATATAATCACTCTAACTTTTAATTTTTATTATATATTAATAAAACAATAATAAAAAATGTCATGTCACAAAATAATTAATAAAATAAATTAGAGTGATTAAAACATGAGCAATTTGAAAGTTGAGTAGTTAAATTGATTTTTTAAAACTTTAGTGACTAAAATAGGAGTGAGAAGATAGTTGAGTGATAAATGATATAATTTACCCATAAAAATACCATGTTGTAACAGTTTTTTTTTAATTTTTAACAGTATGGTACCAAAATGAAATATAAACTAAATATTAGATATGATTTTAAAAATAAATTAAGTATTAAAACGGAACAAAAGTAATAATTTAGGTACTAAACATGTTGTTTACCCGAAAAAAAGTGCTTAATAAGCTGTTGAGACTAGGGGTGTAAACGAGCCGAGTCGAGCTCGAGTATTGCCGAGCTCGACTCGAACTCAAAAACTTTAAATGTAGGCTCGACTCGATTCGAAAACTCACGAGCCTAAAATTTTCAAGCTCGACTCGAACTCGAAAAGGCTCGAACTCAAAAAAAATTCAAGAGCTCGATTGAAGCTCGAGACTCGAGCTCGATTGAAGCTCGATTTTGAGCTCGATTCAAGCTCGAACTCGATTAAAGCTCGAACTCAAACTCGAATTTGATCCTTAGGGGTAAATTAGCTTTAGACCCTCTATATTTATGCGTTTTGTACAAAACAGTCCCTCAATTATTTAAATTTTAGCTTAAATTAGTCCTCACATTTAGATTTTTCTTAATTTAGTCTCTGTTTAGGATTGTTTTCTTTAATTAGTTGTGTATATTTATTTTGCATGTTGATATGTTTATGTATAAGTATGTGAATAATTTATTTATGAGCCACATAACATCATTTTGCATAATTTTAATGTTACCTTCATGGCATAACTTAAACTCGAACACATAAACCCTAAACCCTAACATATAAAACCTAACCTCTAAACTATAAACCTTAAATCCTATTATATAAACTTTAAATTCTAAACCCTAAACCTTATCACATAATTAGTTATGAGGTAAGTACAATATAGTATCTTGATATTAAATGCTCAAACCTTGATATTTATGATATTTGAACCCAAAACCTCAAAATATAACAATAATTTAAAAAATTAGTTATTACAGATATTTTCATTAGAAATATATTAAATATTTGTCATTAGAAAAATAATTTTTTTTATCAATTTAAAATAAATATAAGAATATTTATTCAAAAATAATTTTTAACCATTTTCAATTCAAGAATATTTATTCATCAATAATGTATTTTTAATATATTTTTAATAATGTAATTTTAAAAAATATAAAATTATAATATATTATTTTTTCGAGATGTTCACGAGCTTTTCGAGTTGAATATCGAGTAGCTTGTTTCGGCTCGTTAAGAACTCGAGTCGAGTTCGAGCTCGAGTTGAGTCTATTCGATCCGAATATTTATCGAGCCAAGATCGAGTCGATCTCGAATAACTCGCGATCTGTCTCGTCTCATTTATAACCCTAGCTGAGACGAAGGTGATGAGAAAGAAAGAATGGTGAAATGAGGTCGGAATCAAATTGAAATGCAAATCCCAAATGCAAATTTCACGCGTTAAGATGAAAAAGGGGTATTTCGTTTTTCTACAGTGAGAAAACAAAAAGGCATATTTTTTCTTCTTTTTTCTTTTTGTCAAAATTTCTAGAGCGAGAGAACACAAGCACAATACCATCAACACTTTATCTTTTCCCTCTTATTTTACATTAAAAAAATGATTTTATGATTTATTCTCCGAGAAACAAAGAGGGAGAAGTGTTCTGTGTGTGAGAGAAAGGGAGAGAAAGCGCCCGCTAAATTTGGCTGGGATTTTACAAGGTACTTGAAACACACTACTAAATAATCTCAATGGGTTTCTTTGCTTATCTTCGTTTACTGTTATCTTGTTCTAATTTCGGTTGATTTGTACTTTACTTTTGTTTTTTTTTGTTTCTGGGGTTGATTTTGTTGCTGGTTTTAGTTTGAACTGAAATGGGGTTAAGCTTGAATTTGCTGATTTTTATCTTTTTTGAGCTGTTTTTGTATTGAAGGCATGAGATTTATATTTTTGCTGTATTATTGTTGGTAGGAAAAAATGGGTGATAGTGAAGAAGGTAATACTGATGTGATGCAAAGGATCCAATCTTCATTTGGAACATCATCATCTTCAATCCCTAAGCAACCTTTATCAATGAGTCATCTTGAGATACCTCAGTTGAATCCTAATCAAATGAGGTCTGCTAGGCATTTCTCTCATTTTGGCCAAAACTTTAATGGTAGTGGTGGCGGCGGCGGCGGCGGTGCTGGTGATGGTACTAATAAAAGAGTTGGTATACCTCCTTCACACCCTAACCAGATCCCACCCATTTCTCCTTATTCACAGCTCCCCATGTCCCATCCGTCGAATTACCGAACGGGTTCTCAGGGTTTAAGTCCGGGACCGACTCATTCCCGGTCTTTGTCGCAGCCCAATTCGCTTTTTACGTTTGATTCATTGCCCCCTTTGAGCCCTGTTCCTTCTCGTGATTCTTCGTATATGGCTGTTTCGGATCAGATTACCGAGTTGTCTATGGAAGATAGGGATGTTGCTTCGCATTCTTTGTTGCCACCCTCACCTTTTTCCAAGGGGAGTTCTCCACGGGTTGGAGAGAGTTTGCCTCCTCGAAATAAACATAGGCGGTCCAATAGTGATATTCCGTTTGGATTTAATACCATAATGCAATCTTCGCCGCCACCTCTCGTTCCGTCAAGGGGTTGTGGTTTGGAGCAATCCCTGTCTGGTATGGAAAATTCGGGAGTGCCTAGGCCAGCTCAGCTGGTGAAAAGGGAGACGAGCTGGGAAAGAGGCAACAATGGCAATGCTGAAGGAATGGGTGAGTGGAAATCAGAAGGGGAAGTTGAGGATGATTTGTTTTCTGCATATATGAATTTGGATAATATGGATTCCTTGAACTCTTCTGACGATAAGAACAACGGTAACCACAAAGATTTGGACAGCAGAGCAAGTGGAACAAAGACCAATGGAGGTGATAGTAGTGATAATGAAGTGGAAAGCAGTGAGAACGAGAGTGGGAATAGTGCATCACGAGGTGGAATGAATTCTACAGAGAAGAGAGAAGGGATCAAAAGGAGTGCAGGAGGAGACATTGCTCCTTCTTCTAGACATTATAGAAGTGTTTCCATGGATAGTTTCATGGGGATGTTGAACTTCAGTGATGAGTCGCCAAAACTACCACCTTCACCCGGAACTCGTCCCGGACAACTCTCACTAAGCAATTCAATTGATGGAAATTCAGCATCCTTTAGTTTGGAGCTTGGAAGTGGTGAGTTCAGTGAGGCTGAAATGAAGAAAATTATGGCAAACGAGAAACTTGCGGAGATTGCAATGGCTGATCCAAAGCGTGTGAAGAGGTATCCTACTTTTCAAGTCTTAACTTTTTGATCATGCTAAAGCATTGCACTTAACTTATTGGTTGGTCCTTTTTAAGGATTTTGGCTAATCGTCAATCTGCTGCCCGTTCCAAAGAAAGGAAGATGCGGTATATTTCAGAATTGGAGCACAAGGTTCAGACTCTGCAGACTGAAGCTACCACATTGTCTGCTCAACTAACACTTCTACAGGTGGAAAATTTAGAGCACAGAATGCTATTTATATTTCCTATTTTTCTTTACCGTATACTCTACTTTAAATTGATGCAGAGAGATTCTGTTGGGCTTACAAACCAGAACAATGAGTTGAAGTTTCGTATTCAGGCCATGGAGCAACAGGCACAACTTCGAGATGGTATATTCCGATTTCATTTTCTTAGAACTTTAGTCTTCTCCTTTTGACAGAAAAATTTTTCAATTGTAATTTATGCAGTTACCAAGATCAATTGGATATATATGGCAATTTTGCTCTTGAATTAGCATGCTTTATTTTATTTTTTTCACTTGTGTTAGATTATAGCTATTAATGCTTTATTCTTCAAGTCATAGTATCTCATTTACTGTTTTTCGTAATACTGCAAATATTCATCTTCTACTTTTACGGTGCCATTGAGAATGAGAGATTCTTACAGACATTTATGCACGTGCAAGTATATAAGATATTCTCATCTTTTATAGGAAATGTATGGAACTTTTAATCCTTTGTTGTTACTCCATTACTGTCTGATTTTAGGATCAACGTACCGCATTATATTTCTTTGCATTCTCTATCATACTTATTATAATTGTCGTTGAAGATGTTTATTATGGTTGTTTGTATAGCGCTATTTATCTATTAAACCTGCTGAGTTTCATGTTAGCTTGTCTCAGAGGTGGAGTTAGTAGTCTGCATATTTGTTGTCTTCATTTATAAGTGAAAATTTATGCCTCAATAACTCGACCCTCATCTTATTGTGTTGCATTTGGACAGCTCTAAACGAAACATTAACCGCAGAGGTCCGGCGGTTAAAGCTTGCTACTCAAGAACTAGGTGGTGAAGCTGATCCGACTAAGGGTATGGTTTCACAGCGGCTTCCTGTTAACCAACAGATGTTCCAGCTACACCAGCAGCAGCAGTCTTCCCATCAGTTCCACCACCAGCAGCAGCAATCCCAACAGCTGAACGGGAACACAATGACGAAATCGGAGTCGAATCAGTAGCTCGTGACTTCTCGAAGAGTTGAAAAGTCACAGAGTGTATTTCACTATGTTATTATTTCATATTTTCATCTGCATCCATTCATTGGTTTTCGATGTCCAAGTTCAACTTGTTTGTGGAGTGTCATGGTTGTGGTAAAGTTCAACCTGCATTGGATATCTATCTCGGAATAAAAATAAAATATATAGCTAAAATAGTTATATTCAAATTGGAATGTAAGCATTAAGTTGACATGATTTGTTGCGTTAACAAGATTTGGCTTGTCCAGTTTGTTCTATCAGTTGAGTAATCTTATGTTTCATTTCAGGCTGTTGATTTCTTGTTTACAAAATGAAGTAAAACGCTTTGTTTTATTTTATTTTCACCTGTGTTAGATTCATCTGTAAGGTTATCCATGTATATATATATATATATATAGAGAGAGAGAGAGAGAGAGAGAGAGAGAAGAAATCTGGTGAGGTGTGAGGCTTAATATTGTCGTTCTCCCCATGGAACAATTTGATTGCAGCACAGCATAAACAACAACCTGGCCAATACAATTTTGTAAGCAAACATCTAACACAACGTAAACACTATTTTTCCATCTTCTCCTTCAGTGGAGAGCAGATATATGTCTTCCTAGTGGAAAATTAAAGATGGTTACTGTAACTTCGATTAACCGGTACGGAAAATGACTATAAACACATCATTCGATTGGAATTTCTTTCTTTTCATGAATTCCTATGGTCCCATTTTTCTTGCCAATTTCACCTCTAACAGTAAATGAATTACCTTCTTCCAAAATTACTTCACGTTACAAGCTAACTGTAAATGAGTAGAATTTACCATTTCCTCTCTTTATATATGCAAGTAGAAAGGGTGGTTCCCACTATCCAATATATATCTATATGAATTAGCGAATTCATTGAGTGACCTCAATGATAAAAGAGAACTTTATTCTCCCATCCGGGTTCGAATAGTTGCATTTGCAGAATGTGGGTGCGTTGTCAATAGGGCAAATCATTTACTGATGGATGCGTATACTAACATATAAAGGAACAATTGATTGCAGCACAGCATAGACAACAACCCATGTTTAGGAGGCTGTAGCACATACTTCAGGAAATCTTCAGGAGGCTTTTCTTTTTTTTATTTCCATTTTTAGTGAAGTCAGCATGGAATAGAAGGTCAAGGTCGCCTTGTTACATGTTTCCTTCATTGTCTGATAGATTACATGTCTCTAAAGTTGCCTATAACATTAATAACCAAATAGTGCAACTCTTCAACTGTGAAGAAGCCTTTTAAGGATCCTAATCCTCAATATTTGAATGGGTTCTTAGTTGATTGTTCCGCCGGACCGAGTTCTCAAACTATTCTTTCAAGTCTTCACCATGGAATTCTTGACAGTTCTTTGGAAGACAACATCAAGTGATTCTCATAATCTCCTTCACCACTTAATAATAGATGAACATGCTTTCCTCTTTATATATATATATATATATATATATATATATATATACTAGTAATAATAACTTCATTGGCAACGCCTATCTTTTTATTCTCAAGTATTAAAAGTCCTTAACTTTTGCTTTCCAAGTTTTCGGAGATCTTCCACTTCTTCCCATTTAGAAGCATACATCTTTCGAAATCAACCACGGCTATAGCTATCCACCTACCAAGTATTGTTAGCTGGAAGAAAGTCCTTAAGTGGAAATTAGAGACAATGATTACTTCAACTTCTATCATGTAGTAAAGAAGATGACATTTCAAAACACATTCATTTGGATTTTTTTTTCTTTCAGAATTATGTACTCATCCGCCTTAATTTGATCTCTAATTTAACTACAAATGATCTACCTTTTAATTCATACTACATGCCAAGTTATTAGAGCTGCACTCTTCATTTTCTTCGGGATACATGCGGATTGGAAACAGGTTCATCAGTAAGGTTATCCGTATATATAGTAACACATACGCTGTAAGGCTTAATACTGTCTTTCTCTCCCTTTGGAACAATTTGATCGCAGCACAACATAGGAAACAACCTGGATAAAATGCAACCAACTGGGTTCTGGTGAGGACAAGTTGTAGCCTGTAGGACACACTCCATATGCTCTTCAGAAGGTTTTGTCTTGAAATTCCACCCCCTATTAAAATCAACTTTTTTATTTATTTCATTATTGAGTGAATGCATCAAGCAATAGGTGGACAAGATCACTCATGTTCCATGTTTTCTATCGTACGGATGATGGTATGTCTCTGATGGTGCCTCTATCATTAATGGTAAAGTATTACGACTCTTCAAACTGTGGAGAAACTTATTAAGGGTAATCAAACTCTTCTTTGAAGTCTTAGCCATGGAATTCTTGATAATGAATGGGAAGACAATACCATGTGCTCCTAAGGAAAAACCATGCCTTTCTAATTACTGATCAGACCCCAGCAATTGCCCCTTCACCACTCGTTCCACATCTACCACTTAATAATAGATCAACATGATTTCCTCTGTATCCTATACATCTATATATACAAGTAAGATTAAGTTCATTGGCAACACATATCTTCACAATCTCAACTACTAAAGATCCTTTGATTTTCAATTTCAGTGAGATTTTCCTCTTCTTCCCTTTTAGAAGCATAAATCAATCGAAAACAAACATGGCTATCCGCCTTCCTCGTATCATTAGCTCGAAGAAAGTTCCCAAGGGCTACTTTGCAGTTTATGTTGGAGAAAACCAGAAGAGGTTTGTGATACCAGTGTCCTTCTTGAACCAGCCTTTATTTCAAGATTTGCTAGGCATGTCAGAAGAAGAATTTAGACATACTTATCCTACAGGCGGTCTACGAATTCCCTGCAATGAAGACATATTTGCTGATGTTACCTCTCGCCTAAATTGATTGCGAGAGAATTAACACAAATCAGCCAATACAATTTTGTAAAGCAAAAATCTAACACTATGTAAACAAATTTTCTCACCTTTTTTTCCTTGGTGGTAGAAATAAGTCTCCCTAAGTGGAAAATCAGAGATGGTGGTTACTGTAACTTCTATCTATCAGTATTAAAATTACATTTCAAAACACATCCATCGTTTTATTTATTTCAGAATTCCTTATTGTTCCTTTTTTTATTGTTAATTTCATCTTTAATTTACTGTGAATGATCTACATTGTTCAAAATTTACTTCATGCCAAGTTACTTAGACTCTTCATTTTTCTTAAAATATCTATTATAACACCTACATCCGACACATATCAGGATACGAGTATGACAATATGATCTTTTAAACATATACATATTTTTTAGAAAGAGTTAAATATACTCGTGTGAGATATATACTCGTATTCAACATTCACCCTCAAGTCCATGCAATAAACTACAAGCATTTCATTTCATAATTTTCGAAGGAAAATTTCCTAATGCAGATTTGACCATGAATATATAATGTTATGAGTTCATTTGACTAAATGGGATGCCTTTACCATATACTTATAATTTGGTAGAACTGTAATGACTAGGATTTATCGATCTTCTTTATATTTTCAAGTAGAAAAAGTGATTCCCACTATCCAACATATATTTTTATGAATTAGCTACTAAGAAGCCTTTGAGATGACATATTCTGCCATTACACCATTTTCAATGACATAAGAGTGGTAGGTTTTATGGTACCTGTTGTTCATGCTGAGAAAACTGTTCGGAGGGTGACAACAGGTGCAGAAATAAACAGAGCCAGGCCACCTTTCTGTTTATGTTGGTGATCAATCCAAAAGATGCAGTTTATAATTACAAGTTCATTCTTAAAGCACTATTCATTTCGAGAACTTTCATGACCTGGCCGACCGGCAAGGTACTCTCAACTTCCCTATGTCGCATCATACTAGTGTTGTGCTCATTCGCTGGTATTTTCCTCTTCGGATGCCTTGGAGAATATAGTTAAGCTTGATGGCTGATGTCATTGAATCTGTACTTCAACACATTACACCTAATTTCCTTTTGATCTGACATATTATCTCCCCTTATCCCAATCATTAAGGGAAGTATGAACCCTTTTTTCTCAGTTCAGAATTAGACTTTATATTTATTAATGAATAGTCAATATATCCAGAGAACTCAACAAATATGCCATCAGAAATTTTAGATTGGGAACGGGATCATCTATAAGGTTACCAATGTTATATATAGCAACACATACCAAAAATTTGGATGAGATGTAAGGATTAATATTGTCTTTCTCACTCATGACACATTTTGATTGCAGCAAAGAATAGATAACAACCGGGATAAATTGCAATTGATTGGGGTTCTGGGGAGGACTAGTTGTAGCCTGTAGGACATACTTCAGCCGCCTTTCACAAGGGTTTGTCTTACAAGATGCTCATCAAGGAACACATCAACGGTCACCCATGTTTTGATAGAAGTCAGCATGTAGATAGGAGGTCAAGGCCACACATGTTACATGTTTCCTGTCATTTATGACAGACTGTATATGTCTCAAAGGTTGCCTGCAACATCAATGGCGGGGTGTTACAACTCTTCTACTGCGTTTTATGGATCTGAAATCTACCATATTTGAGTGGATCCTTAGTCGGTTGTTATGCCGGATGGAGTAGGCAAACTATTATTTCATGTCTTCGCCATGGAATTCTTGATAATCCTTTGGAAGACAACACCATGTGATTGGCCTCATGAAGCCATGTCTTTCTCATTACTGATGGACCCTAGAATTTGCTCCTTCACCAATCATTCAACGTTCTCTACTTAATAATGGATGAACATGATTTCCTCTCTACCCTATACCTCTATATATACAAGTAAGAATAAGTTCATTGGCAACACATATTTTCACATTCTCAACTACTAAAGATCCTCACCTTTGCTTTCCAAGTTCATTGGCACCCGACTTCCCGTTTTCCGATCTTTAGCGCCAACAAAAGTTTGATTTATGTATTCACTCTTATGAAATGGCATTCAACAAATCTGGAGCTATTATCTTATTCCTTTAAGGTCTCCTTTGCGTTGAAAAGAAGAAAAAGAATCCATCGGCAGCAATCTCAAGCTTGCAGACATGTCGGTTTATTATTTCTGCATCTACATCTGTATCTAACTATGTCTATTTACTTTCCATCTAAGTCAAATATCCAACTGGTCCTTTCCAATTGTAGGGCACATTGTTTGTCAAGCATATTACAATATTATTTTAGTATTTAATCTTATAGAATAGTAGGAATAAAAGACCATGCTAGACCTCTTATGCAATATCCTACCAATGCCACAAATTTCTGCACTTTACAGGGTTTTTATTTATCAACATATTTTATCAGAAATCACGGTAATGCAAGTTTCTTTACATCACAACTCTCTCAAAATCATCCCCAGTCTGTCCCTTTTCCTTTATTTCTATGTCTACATCAAAGTATCTGACTGTCCCCCCTCCAATCTTCTGCTAGCCCTGGATTGCTCTATTTTGTAATTTGTAGGCCACATTGTTCTGTCAACATGCAATAATATGATTTTCAAGCCCTTAATATTTGTGCAAGTATTGGAAGATAAGACCATGTGACACCCTCTCCAGGCTCCAGCAATGTCCTAACCCATTGTTTCATAGCCACTCACTCCAAGATCTACAAGATTTTCACATTATATCATTATGTATAGATTATTGTGTTTTTTTATCACAAGACACAACCAACTCGGTTCTTTGTATTACAAATTCAAAGCTTTCTTCGAATTTTCACTCTCTCTCAAAGAAAAACATAAAGGAAAAGCAATGGCAATTCGTCTTCCTAGTGTGGTGATGAATATCCTCCGCCGATCTTCTTTAACAAAAAACAACATATGTTCAACATCCTTGGATGTACCGAAGGGTTTCTTTCCTGTTTATGTTGGGGAATCCCAAAAGAAGAGATTTTTGGTTCCTCTATCCTTCTTGAATCAACCCTTGTTTCAAGATTTGCTAAGTAAAGCTGAAGAGTTCGGGTTTGATCATCCAATGGGAGGTGTTACAATTCCATGTCACGAAGATGCATTCTTGGATGTTATTTCTCACTTGAATTGATCTCAAGTGAAGCCAACTAACACTGATTTTGTACATCGACACAAAGCTTAATTCATTGTAAATAGTACGGCTTTTGACAAGAGGAAGTAGTTCCCTTATCATGATTAAAACATATTGAATCTTTCTTTTCAATTCATGTGTAGTTCTACTATTCATTTTTCCAATTTTTATTTGCCACAACATCTATAATTGATCACCAACCAAACTATCATTTGAAAGAAGAAAATGTTGTTGGAATCCAGCAACATACAAAGAAAATTCATCTTGGCATCTCACGTGCTTTATTTAAGATACCGAGTCAAGTAACCCCCCCCCACCCGCAAACTCATGTACTTTGTATTTTCATTATAAATATCTAATAATTTGTAACCGGATTAGTTGAACACCCCTACTGATGACCTCGAGACACTAATGCTGAATGGGTTTGCAATACTAACAACAAACTCGAAGAACATATCACTTTTTTTTATAATAAAAAGAAAGCAAACAAAAATTATAGAAACGATATCCTTATCAACTATGGTAGCCACCTCACTTGGAGGAGAGTAGTAATGAACTTCCCCTACTGCTTTGCCCCTAACCAATGCTGCAAGTCTATCCAGCTACAAGATCTGCTTCACGACGAATGTGACTTATTCTTACATTCCAGTCTCGCTGCAGTAATTCCCGGATCATGCCTACAACCGCACCACTATCAACAGCCCGGATATTGTTGTTGAAGAACATATCACTTTAATGGTTCAGCAACACATAATCTTCATTAATTTTGCTGCTGGCAAGTTCCTCCAGATGGTTTCACTTTTGCTCCAAAGCACAAATCCAATGCTTATGATCGAGCAGAAAATGGGTAACATTAAGGATGGGATATTCAATTACTCATTGAGATTAGGCTCAAAAGCATAAACATCGTATTCTTACAATGACAAACCAGCTATTTATTTGTTTATTCTTCTGGCCTCTCATGGATGTCAAACTCATATATAAAAACATCGTTTATCGGCAAAGAACTCTAAACCATATATATAAATGAAAATTAGTCTTTCCAAAGAAAATAACGAGGCAAAATTGCATAAGCTTTAGATTGTTTATAAGCAAAGAAATCGAAACCATCACTCACCACACAGTCGTGACTGAAACATAGCTAAATCTTGTTTTGCTTATACATTGGATCGATTTCTTTCTCGATATCGATATTTGTTGGACCTTTCACCCACCCTCCATCAATGGAATCCATAGGTCCATTCAGTCCATCATCCAAGAAATCACCAACTTTTTTCACTTTAATCTCCCTTGGCATGACAGGGTACTTCCCAGAGAAGCACGCATAGCAGAAGGTTTGGGAATCACCGGCCAACATCTTCTTCAAGCTATCGATTGAAAGAAAAGCGAGTGAATCACATCCGATAAACTCTCGAATCTCCTCCACACTCATTCGGTTCGATATCAACTCCTCTGAACTCGGTGTGTCCACTCCGTAATAGCAAGAGGCGATGATCGGTGGGCTTGCGATCCTCATGTGAACTTCCTTAGCTCCTGCTTCCTTGATCAGCCTAACAATTTTTGAAGATGTGGTTCCTCTTACAATCGAGTCATCAACAACCACAACCCTTTTACCTTCCAACACGCCGCGAACTGGTGAGAGCTTAAGCTTAACACCAAAGTCCCGAATCTTCTGTGAAGGCTCAATGAAAGTTCTTCCGACATAGTGTGACCGGATCAGCCCTTGCTGAAATGGCACCCCTGCTTTGGCTGCATAACCAAGAGCAGCGACAACCCCAGAATCCGGCACTGCAATCACGACATCACAGTTGACTGGAGCCTCAGTCGCAAGTATTTCTCCAAAAGCATGTCTTGAATTGTAAACGGACCTTCCAAAGACAACAGAATTAGGCAAAGCAAAGTAGATATGCTCAAAAATGCATTGTTTAGGTTCAGGGTGAGGCAGCAAGCAAAGCGATTGAACCCCATCTTTTTTATCCACCACCAAAACTTCACCAGGATTCACCTCTCTTTTGTATGTCGCCTCGATCAAATCGAGGGCACAAGTCTCCGAAGCAAATACAACAGCACCATTACTCCTCCTCCCCATAACCAAAGGCCTAAATCCATGGGGGTCACGCACAGCAACGAGCTTATCCTCGGTCACAAACACCATCGAATAAGCCCCTTCGAGCTTCTCACAAGCATCAACAATCCTCAAGAAGAAAGGCCTAGCCTTCGAAATAGCAATCAAATGAAGCACAACCTCAGTATCAGAACTAGTATTAAAAATCGAACCATTATCCTCGAGCATATGCCTCAAAGCTCTATAGTTCACCAAGTTCCCATTATGCGCAACCCCAACAGACCCAAACCTGTAACCAGCAACAAAAGGCTGTACATTTTTCAACATAGAAGAACCGGCAGTCGAATATCTCACATGTCCAATAGCCATGTCACCAGGCAATTGACTAAGCTTAGACTCATTGAACACATCAGAAACTAAACCAACACCGGTAACAGATTGAAGAACATTGTTATTCACCGCTACAATACCTGCACCTTCCTGTCCACGATGCTGAAGCGCGTGGAGGGCCAAATAGCAGAGCCGTGAGGCTTCAGGGTCACCGAATATACCCACAACACCACACTCTTCACGGGGCTTATCGTCATCATCACTAAAATAGGGCACAAAATTCTCTTCTGGGTCACTTTTTTTCTTCGAAAAGAATTCGGAGATGGGGTTTTTAGAGGAGATGGTGAACTGAGGTTTCTGGTGATGGAAAACGGGTTTGGAAGGGAAAGAAGAGGGGTTTTGAAGGGTTTTTGGGAATAGAGAAAAGGGGTTTTTTTCCGGTTGGTTTAGATAAAAGGAGTGGCTTTTGGATATGGACTTTGATAGTCCTGATGAAGAGGACAAAGTAGAGATGTTGGCGGAGGCTGCCATGGATGCTTGCCGTTGAATTCTAGGAGAGGATGGGTGGAAGTAAAACGAAGTTCGAGAAATATGGTTTATAAAGGGCAGACCATGTTTTCTCTCTCTAGGTTTTTTACGAGAGAATCAGATGCAATGTGGCCGAGGTGGCACCACGAGATTCTCAATTCAATTGAAGGTAGTTAAAATATGATTTAAGTCCTTGTATTATTTCTACATTTGTAATTCAATACTTCTACTTTTCTTTATCAGAATTTAATTTCTCTATGTTTTAAATTTAAGAAACTCAAATCTAATACTAAATACTTAAAAGTTAAAGATATCAATGTTTACATACCAAATCATCACATACTTAAAAAATAAAACACATCAAATTATTTGATGGAATTAATTAGAAAAGTGAGCTTCAACATTTCAAAATGTAAAGAAAAAGAATTGGCCAAAATATTTAAAGGGATTAAATTGCTAAAATAATATAATATAGAGACTTTCTGTGGATTTTAACCTTATTACGCATGACCACGGACAATAGATCGGTTTCCTTTTTTTTTTTGTTTTCTTTTAATACTTGGAATGTTCAATTAATAAATCAAACTTTGCTGTCAAATTTCTTACCCAATTATAGGGTTATAATTATTGAATATCCATATTTTATTTATGTACAATGTCTAATATAGTATTTTTAAAGTATTAAAATTAAATATAACTTAATGAACGTGCCATATATAGGTAAGTGTAAATAATTTCTTTAGATAAGTGATATTAATTTTGATATTAATTTTTGGTTTTTTATGTTTTATTAAAAATTAAATTAAATTATTTAAAATATTTTATTAAAAATTAATAAATAATAACATCTGTATTTTTTTTATCTTTATACGTCTTATTCTTTTATATTTATAAAATTAAATTTGTCAAATGTATCAATATTTGTCATTTTCTTTATTTTATATAATTTGACATGCTATCAATTTACCTTCTAAAATAATGAGCATGATCAACACAAAATAAAATTAATGGAAGAAAATGAATATTATTTTTATATGTGACGTTGATTGATTAAAAAAATAATAAATAACTTGTAAGTATTGAAACTCGGGGGTTAAACTCGAGATTTAATTCAACTTTTTTAATTTTAAATTGTACCATTAATTTTTTTTTATATTTGAACTTTTAAAATTTTGAATTTATAAATTTGTTGAATTTATATGAATATAATCAAAAAATAATTATTATAAAATATAAATAAAATTATAATTTTAATCATTACAAAAATATATAAACTGATCACTTAGAATGATTGTAGACAGAATCCACACATAATAAGAATTAAACCATAATAATCTTAGACTACAAATCCACAAACAATATACACTACAAATCCACAGAATTACACATAATAAGAATTAAACCATAATATACACTACAAATAGTATAATTCAACCAATAATGGGTCGGGTCGGGTTGGGTTTTTGGGCCACCCGACCTGAGAAGAAAGGGTCCTCCACCCGTGACCCGACTCGACAAAATTAAGGTTTCACCCGACCCGACCCGAATATATGACTTAGAAACCCGACCCGACCCGAAATAAAAAAATATTTGTATTCAATAAAAACAATGACTTAATTGAAAAAAATTATATATAGAGGGATATTATTGTAATTATCCCTAAATATATAGGGTAAAATTATATATATTTTTCGGGTCAGGTCGGGTCGTATTTTTCCACCCTAAACCCGACCCGAACCCGAATTTTTTTTAAAAAAAATCCGACCCGATCGGGTCGGGTTCGAGTTGAGTTGCCATCCCTATTGATATCGTTTAATTAATGTCTAAAGTTCGAGTACTTGTGTATGTAGAAAATCTCTGTTTGGAGACTCACACACAAAAATCAGGTGTACGATGCAAGTTGATTCATATTAGTCAAAATAAAACCGAGAGGGGAAAAATCGTATAATTCATAAAAGAGTAAAAATCATAAAATTTACATATCTCAAGATTAATTCAACTTTTAATTCTAATGTTTCCATTCTTTTTTATTTATTTATTATATAGATTTTATGATATAACATAATTTTATAATAATTTTTTTAGGTTGTCCTTCCGTTCTTAAGGCTTCGATTTGATTAATATGGATTGATTCGGGTCGCACATTTGGTTGTGGTGAGTCTCCCAGTAAGGATTTTCTGTATACACAATGACTTGAACTCGAGACTTAAGCGATATCAAACTGCTTACTACTTGAATAAACCCGTTGATAATTTTACAATGAATTTTATTGTTTGATGATACGCCACTTTCAAAGTGTGTCACATACCCGTATATCATTTTTATTGGTTGAATTATTAATTAATGGACATAATTAATTGATTAACATAAATGTTATAGAAGGAAACCAATTATTATCTTTTACTAACGAAAGGCCTCAATCAAATTTACTTTAATTTATAGGAACTTAATTAGGTTCAGTTTGATTTAATGGGGATCAATTGATTTTTTTAACCTTTTTACCATAAACTTTTTAAACCCTTTAACCATTTATTTTACAAACGCGTTGAAATTTTCAAAACTGAATATTATTGTAGAATAATTTCATGAATTAAAATTTATTCTATATATTAATAAAATGATAATTTAACATAACAAAATAAACGAAATATAATAAACACATATCAAAATAGCTAACATTATATTTGTAGTTGAAATGTCCACAAGATATCAAAATAATCGGGATATTGACTATCGGAGAGCTAGAAAGAAAATTTTGAGATGTCTCGAATGGACAAAGAAGTACATACTTGAGTACAACGATCATATATTTTGGAGATGATTGACTACTCTGAATCAGATTTGTCGATTCACGTAAATCAACATCTATTATATATTTATGTTTGTTGGTAGAATTATATCTGGGAGAATTATCAAGCAAACCATAATTGTTACGTCCTCTACGAAGATTGAATTCGTTTTGTGCTTTTAGGCTACCTCACACAGAGTATGATTGAAGGGTTTAATTTTTTTTTTATCTTAAACTAGTGGACTAAAGCTCTAGATCATTAATGATATATTGTGACAATTCAAATGTTGTCTTTATGATTAAGAATAATAAAAATGAAAGTAAACATATCACGCTTAATATATACAAAGAAAATTTCAAAATCGTACTGATTTTTTTTATACAAATAAAATATTGTTATATAAAATATATGAATCTTAATATTTGTAACTAAAATCGTGCATTAATCTGATAATTACAACCGAGCAAACTTACAGCAGCCTACGAAGGAGGTGAGTTAACTATTTCACAAATATCCATGTTGGATTCCACAGAGAAGAACGAGCAAAAACGTCGTCGCTTTAATACAAATCTCCATAAACATTTAATAGTCATTCAACTTTACCATTTATTCAATTTTTGTCATTACAGTTTAAAACGTTACAATTTAATTACTTAACTTTTGAATTATTTATGTTTTAATCACTGTACCGTTAAATCACAAGAGATGTGATTATATGAATTATTTTAATAATATTTTATGATATCATGATTTATTTTAAGTTAAAAACATATAATATACAATATTTTCTTTTATATATTAATCTCAACAATAATTCATAAAATTTAAGGTGTTTTCATGTTAAATGAATAATGTATTTGTGTTAGGAGGGAGAACGAGTTTGATGAAAAATATTTACGATCCTTCAATCATTGATGGTGATCGGAACGACAGATGACACGATAATTGAATCTAAGTAAGTTCACCATAAGAAAAAAATGAGAGAAAAAATTAAATAAAAAATAATTTTGATAGGAATCCAAAAATAATATTATTTTGATTTAAGTTTACTTTTTTATATGGAGTCGAAATGATATCATTTTAGTATGTGATCACCCCTTTTATTATATTATTACATTGTTTGTTATTTAATAATAGAGTGACAAAAAAATAAGTGCAATTTGAAAGTTTAATAATTAAATCGAAATTTTTTAAATTTAGTGACTAAAATAAGTAAAAGAAAAAGTTGAATGATAAAATTTGTAATTTTTCCCACTCTATTAGACTCCAAGAGTGAAAAATCTCTAGTCTCGTCCCTTCTCGTCATCAGAGCTTGTTTTTTTCCGTCCGTTGCCCAAATCTACAAACAAATCAAGGCAAAGTGATGGCGCCGACGCCTCCATGTCCACACCCCACCACAGATCCTAGCCGTCGTAATTTCTTTTTGCTCTGTTCGTTTGGATCACAATGTTGAAAATTCATTTTTTTAAATAATTCATTCGCTTGAGATTTTTTTTACATCTATCGAACAACTGAAGTGTTACACCATTTTTTGTTCGAAACGAATTCCTGGTTTAAAATTCAGCCATGGAAGGACCTGAAACGAGCTTGGTTGAAGTAAGAGAAGAGCTCATGGTTTCCCCAGGTTGCGAAACCCTAAACCCTTGTTCAAAAACAGCCCATTTTCTCAAACCCATTTCCGGTTCCCTCGAAACCGAACTTCCCAGGCTTCCTTCGCAACGCCTTTCGAATCTGGAACAATCTTCTTCTGAACCCAAAGATCTGCCTTTAAGTATCGGTTTCCATGGGTGGAGATGCAGGGCAAGTAATTGGTCCATCTGGGTTGACAAGATGAGGGTTTTGCACGAACCGACTTGGAAGAAAGCTGGAATCTTCGAAGCCATCTTGAATTCGACTTACCAGATTAAGCGAAACATTACTTTAGTTCTTGGGCTAGCTGAGAAATGGTGTTGCGAAACCAAAAGTTTCATCTTATCTTGGGGTGAAGCCAGTGTTACACTCGAAGATGTGATGATTCTTGGTGGGTTTTCTGTTTTGGGTTCCCCTGTTTTCGCCCCGCTGGAAACCGAAGAATCGAAGGAAGTCGAAGAGACTTTAAAGAGTGCGAGGATCGAAATCGTGAGAAGCAAAGCTAAAAAGGCCTGCCCTCATTTGTGGATGCAGAGATTCATGGACAATGGCAGCGAATTCGAGCACGAAGCATTTCTCGCCTTTTGGCTTTCGAGGTACGTTTTCACCAATGCGCACGAAACAATTAGGGAGCATGTTTTTTCCACTGCAGTTCATTTAGCTAGAGGGACAAGACTTGCTTTAGCACCTGCTGTGCTCGCTAGTATTTATAGAGACTTGTGTTTGTTGAAAGATGCAATCACTGCTTCCACCAAAATGGAGAAAGATGAGGTGTTCAAGCTTACCCTTTGGTCACCTTTTCAATTAGTTCAGGTTTGGGCTTGGGAGAGATTTACAGAGCTGAGACCTCAACCGAATCCGATAGCAAAAGGTGAGCCGAGGCTGGTTCAATGGCATGATGTGAGCTTCAAGGTTGAGAAAGTGAGGTTAGCTCTAGAGTCAGCTAGTGGAAGTTTCGAATGGCGTCCTTATACCGTGCAGATCGATAACTGGAAACAACCTAAGTTTTATAGAGAGAATGAAGTTTGTATATGGACCACCGCGCGTCTTGATAAAGAACTAGAGTCCTTCGTTCGATGCTTGAAGGTTAGTGAGCTAGTGGGACTTGATTGCATAGAACAGTACCTTCCTCATCGAGTTGCAAGGCAGTTTGGAATGGATCAGGATATTCCTGGTTGTGTTCCCCAATCACAAAATTTGACTCATGAGATTGCCTGGCTTAATTACTGTGAATCACTTACTGGTGTAAAATTATACATTCCATCCCGGCTCTATAAAGCTGGTGTTACAGCGCGGTACTTGAAGTGGTGGAAGGATTCGGTTTTGGAGAGCAAAGGCACAGCGAAGGGTTTGAAGAAATCAGCAAAGAATCCTAAAGGGAAGCGAGGGGAAAGTTCTTCTGGTTGTTCTGGCTTTCATCAGAAAATAGAGAGTTTCCATGGAAAGATGGAAGCTAATGATACATCAGTTTCTCCCAATTGTGCCGTGAAGATCTCAAAGAAACAAGGAGACCGTGTCAACAAGACTAAGAAATCAAAGAGTGTATCCCAGATTTTGGAAGAAAAGCAAGTTCACGACAATGACTCTACTTCTCCTGCCTCTTGCAGAAAGAGCTCTAAGAAATCAGTGAAGAATCCGAAAGGAAACAAAAATGGCAAGGAAGAATCTTCTTCTCCCGATGTTCCTCTTGGAAGTTCGAAAGAATTAGCACAAACTTTGAAAAGAAAGAAGAGAGACAACAGCTATTATGCTTCTCCCGATGTTCATTTGAGAAACTCGAAAGAATCAGTTCAGACTTTGAAAAGAAAGAAGAGAGACGACAGTGATTCGGCTTCTCCCGGTTTGAGTAAAAAATGCATGAAAAAGTCCACGAAGAAATCTGAAGGAATAAAGAAAGATACTCCTGTGTCTGCCTCTTCTAAACATGCTTTTGGAAGCTCCAAAAGACCAGCATTGGCTATGAAATATAAGGAGGAAGGTAGCAACGATGTTGTCTCTCATGTTTTACCTTCAGCGAGTGCAATAGGATCACCATGTACCCTAGAAAGAAAGAACGGAAATAGTTCCTCCGACCCTATCAGTCTTGAGCGCAACTTTAATGGAAAGGAAGCTGAGGATTCTACCGAGGATTATAACCCAACTATCTCAGAAATGTTGAGATCCTGCAAGAAGCGTCGCAATATTATAACAGAAGATTCTGACGATGATGGAAACCCATCAGGCCATTCTCAAGGTCATTCTTCAACGATTGCAGACGACGAAGTTGTTAAATATTTTGAGCCGTTGGCAATGTTGGCAGAAAAGGTCATCGAGGACGAAGCCTCTCTAAGAGTAGGGGAAACTTTCAAAGGTCCCCACAAAGAACAAAGAGAACTAGAGATGGTGCAGGAAGAAGTTGCGATGGGAGAATCAGAAAGAACAACAGAACACGAAAAGGAGGACAACCCCGAACAACCAGTTCACGAGATGCCAAGCATCAACGGTGTAGAAAGAGAGTGCAGTTGCTATGCGGTCGACATACCGGGATTAACACTCGAAGCTCGGATTAGCAGGCTTGAGAAACTGGTTGAAGAGCTAAAAGCAATGAGATCTGCTTGCAAGTAGTTTCTTGCCATTAGCATTAAGATGTACTTTACTCATTTTTAATTTATATGATTAGAATAATGCTTATGATTTTCTTTGGTTGGTTTGATTCAGTGGGAAAGAATACAGTAAACTTGCTAAGCTGCTTTGGTTTTGGCCAAACATTGTATGTAAAACACATGTGATTATTGATTGGTATAAACTATGACTGCTATGAAATGTGCCTGGTTATTTGTAGTTTCATTTACTTTTTTACTATAATTTGATATATATATATTTTTACTTGGTGATCGTGTTTTGGTTGTGCCGTTTTCTTCTGTTTCTTTTCTTTTCATGCTTGTTTGCTGAGTTTCTTTCTTTTAGAATTGGGTTAATTTTTTATTTATAGAAAACGAATTTAGGTTCGGTTGGGTCGGATCATATTTTTTTAAAAGTGATATTTGGGTCAGGTTGGATTCGGGTTTAGGGTAAAAATACCTAACCCGACCCGACCTTGAAAAATATATAATTTTATCATATATATTTATGAATAATTACAATAATACCTCTTTATATATTATTTTTCAATTAAATCATCGTTTTTATTGAATAAAAATAATATTTTTTATTATTTGAGGTCGGGTCGGGTTCGAATTTTATCTCAAAAATCGAGTCAATTTGGGTCGGGTGGAGGTTATATATTTTTCGGGTTGAGTCGGGTCGGGCGAAGGATGTAAAATTTTCGAGTCAAGTCGAGTCTCATGCCCATCCTTAATTGCATTTCTAAAATTAAAAAGTTTATCCAAATTCAATTATAATCATTTTTACTTGTATTTATATAGATAAACAACTTTTAATCTAATATTTTTATTAAACAACCGACCAGAACAGTTTAGTTGTAATCAAAGTAAATTACTTAATTATCTTAAGACTAAAAATTAGAAACACTTGATTTGAAAAGCAAAAAACTTTAAAAATCAGACATAATCTTTTGACAGCAGATTTTATGCCATGTGTGATGACAGATTGAGCACGCCCACTTCTGTCATATTATGAGTACCTGAAAACAGTAATAAATCTTTTTGATTATCACATTAAACAAAAATAAATAAATAAATATGCTACTACTCCATGATTAAACATCCATGACCTTTTACCAAAAAAATAAAGATCCAGGGACCTGATTTCAAAAGTTGCTTAACTTTTTATAGAATCATGGGACCTGGAAATAAATAAATAAAAGATTATGGATTAGATGGTATTAACAGTTGGTATGATAAATATAATTTATATGGAAGCATTCTTCACCAAGAAATGAGTGTGATAATTGCTTTGTAGAAAATGGGATTATTTTACGATATAATTTTGCTTTCGGTCACTGTATTCTTTATACATTTGAAATTTAGTCTCACTATTTTTAATTTCCAGTATTTAGTTTAATTCAGGGACGTATTAGTCACACAATAAAAAGTTCACTCATCCAGTCAAAATAGAAGATATATGGTGTGTGAAAATTTGATTTTAACCATTGAAGTAATTCGGTTAATCGATTGATATCAAAATAGTTTCAGTAAGATCAATTAATAATACTTTAAAATTTTAATTATTGATTAATTTAATTTTAAATCAATTAATTAATTGAATTAATAAAAATTTCAATATTTAACTAACATACTTTTAATTTTAAAATCAGATCCCATCAACGACCCTTAATCTTTAAAACTAATATTTATATTTTAATAACAAATTAAGTCAACCTAAAAGGGAAAAAATAAAGACTAGAAGTAAAATATATCTAACAGAAAAACTCAATTTTATTTTATTGCTATTTTGAATCAAAATTAAATAATATTAAAAATCTAATTAATTCAAAAATTGACTGAATTAACTAAAATTATTTTTAATTAATAATTTTCATAAATAAATCAATTTGGTTAAGATTTAAGGATTTTAAAAATATGATTAACTCAATTAATGTCTATTTTATTTTATTACTATTCGAACCAACCGCTTGAACACTCTTTAGGTAGTCCTAGTATTAGAAGGGTTGAACTTAAAACATGCAGTATAGGGACTACCATGATAAATTAGACCTATATGAAAATAGTGATTAAAGTTAGGGGTGTAAACGAGTCGAGTCGAGTCGAGCTCGAGTATTGTTGAACTCGACCCGAACTCGAAAACTTTAGAAGTAGGCTCGACTCGACTCGAAAACTCACGAGCTAAAAATTATCAAGCTCAGCTCGAACTCGAAATATAATATTGAAACTCGACTCGAACTCGAAAAGGCTCGAACTCAAAAAAAAAATCAAGAGCTCTATTGAAGCTCGAGACTCGAGCTCGATTGAAACTCGATTTTAATCTCGATTCAAGCTCGAATTAAAGTGACATATTACTTAAATAATCTATTATGTTGGATGAAATGTGATATAATCTCAAAAACTGGTATTTTCTTAAGTTCGTAATCTTCCTGTCAGGTTTTTGTTCTGGTTCTCTTTGTGTCCTAACCAAATAGAACTGGTTATTCTAATGTTTAATTTAAACTTCTAAGTTGTCTTCACCACAACAAACATCAGTTCCAGTTCTGCCAAAAGATTAAAACCATGAGTAAATATACCCAATTAAAGACTTTGAATTTCATAACATTTTCAATTTGATCCTTTATTATATTTATGGGGATAAAAGTAACTTTTTAGTCTTTGAATTTTACAATATTTTCAATTTGATCCTTACATTTTTTTGTCCATGTCAATCTCTGAATTTGACAATTTCTAATCTTTTGCTGACATGACATAATGAGATTATGAAATATGATCCAATACCAGTGTTTTCATGTCATCAAAATGATTCATAGTCTAATTTAAAAAATTAATCTGTATCAAAAAATGATTTAAGGGCTAAGTTGAAAAAAGTTATCACAATTTAATGACTAAAATTACAGTGCTTAGATTGGAAATTAAAGTATTTGAAATTATAAGCAAGCCAGGCCTACGCCATTATTCCCTTAAGCTTGCTATACCATATTATTAATAATTACCGGATCTGTTACTGTGTTAAAGGAAAAGGATAAAAGATAATGGAGAGACAAGAAATCATAGGATCATGTAAAAGAACAAAACATGAAACACCCACAATATATGCTTGTCATATATTGTTTATTACCTTTTGGTGCTTTGTTGTTTTAAATCATTATTTTGTTAGTTGAGCACTGCATGAGCAACGTTGGTGTCTATATTTTCATATATTCATACTTTGGTATTGCTATTTTGTGATTTTATTGTTTGTCATTATTTCATAACATTCCTAATTACCACCTAACTAAATATCCAATAATATTAGTAATAAAGGATTATGTCATATATTTCTAATCCATGAATAGATAAAACTAGGTCAAATGATTCGATAAAGAAATAGAAAGACCATCTGACAATGAATGTTTAATATTTTTGCATACCCGAAACATTAAAGATAATAATCATCACTTTAACCAATGAAATCGTTTGATTTGTACCGTAATTACTAGCTAGTTAATGGTGATTTGATGCAGATTTTCTCCCTAACCTGGTTAAAATTTAAGAAAAGTGTCAATTTCTATTAGGAAAAAAAATTATAGTTTAACAATTTTACATTCTTCGTATATGTTTTATAATTTATATTCAATACTTGTGATTATTTCTCTCAAGAATGTTGCCTTTAAAAGTTACGTGTTTCCATTTAGAGTGCAATTTGTCATATTAATGTACCGATAATTTTAAAAGAAGAAAAAATAGTTTGGAGGAAAATTTATTATTATTGGTTATTTCCCTTTTATAAGAAAGGAGGGAAATAGGTAAATTTGCACATTTATTTATTTTTAAATAATTTTTATATAGAAGAGGAAACTGAAAATTCTACATATTGTTGATCATTTAATACTTTTATATATGTATATATAAATTGGTTGAAACTATATGCTTATATAATGTTATTTTATGAGAATAATACTTATTTTAAATTTATTTAAATAAACGATACATAAAATAATTATTTAAAAAAATGTCATTCTTTTAGTAAAGGTGTGCTATGTCGGTCTCGCTTTTTCACAAGGTACGTTTTGGAGTACATGTCTTTATTGACGCGATAGTAATTTCGGATAAATTTTTTAATGTTTATAATGAAATGAAAATAATTGAACAAAATATTAAAAATTATAAAAATATAAAACACACTTTATGAAAAATGTGGCTTACGTGACTTGATTTTACTAAAAAAATGTAATTTTTTAAAATGGTTCTTTTAAATATTATTTACCTAAATATTTATTTTAGTTTAAGTTATTACATGATAATATATGTTTGATGATTCTCAATAATTCGACAATAAACGTTTAAATATCCTTATAAGCATCATGCTCAAACTTAAAATCTTTTTAAATAACAATATTTTTTTAATCATTTAAATTGTTTGATTCGTACTACTTAAATAAAATTTAAATGATTATTATTCACATAAATAGCCATGTATAACTTACTAACAACATACATTGCATGGTCATGGCACAATCTCGTAATTATCTCCAACACCAATGGCGGTTTCTTTTATCCTTGACTTTATAACGCTTCCTTTCTCTTCACTCTAAATTCAACTTAACAATTCGTTACCACTCGTTCGTTTTTTTCCCTACTAGTATTTCTTGCTCATCTTTTTCTTTTTCTGTCACTCTCTCGGGAAAAAAAATGCCTAATGGGGTAGGAAAGTGCCAGAAAATCAGTCACATTGTTCGAATCCGACACATGCTGAAGAAATGGCGAAGGAAGGCCCGCATGACGGCCAACAGCAACCTCAACAGAAAAGGACAGGAGCCGTTCGATGTACCAGCAGGACACGTGGTTGTCTGCGTTGGGACCGGTCTCAGGAGATATCTGGTACGAGCGACGTACCTGAACCACCCAATCTTCAAGAAACTCCTCGTACAAGCCGAAGAAGAATACGGTTTCAACAACGTCGGACCGTTGACCATCCCATGCTCCGAGTCGTTCTTCGAAGAGATTCTCCGACTCGTGTCCCGTTCCGACTCATCATCATCGAACTCGGGTCGTTCGAGTTTCTCCACTTTCGAGGATTTTCAGAGGCGCTGCCGCCTTGGCTTGAAAAATAAACGCGAAAGTTTCAGCGGACCTCGACCGGTGTTTCATCCGGTTGCAGATAGATCAGTCTACTAAAAGGATAATAATACTTCTGGGTTGAAACAACTGAGTCACCCGAGTTGCAAGAATTAACAGCCATGATTTAAAATTTAGTTTGGTAGTTTATTTAATTGTAATATATTATCAGTCATAATTTTAATAATCATTTATATCTCTTATAAATGCAATGTCTTTGACTCGTTTTAAGAATTATAAATACCAAATTAAGAGAATATGCCAATTTGAAGGGTCAAATGTCATTTCAACCAAATTAAGTGTACAAAATTTGCAATTAGTGAAAAGTTGTGGTTATTATATTTAAGGACATAAAATAATTATGAAAGGGAAGTTTTTTTTTTTTTTTTGAAGGGAAGCTTTTTTTTAATCTTTCATAATTGTAAAATCCCACTCTTATTGACAATTTTCCCCATAAATAGCTGGTGATCGATATATTTACTGATCTAATACCGGTCAGATTATATTTCTCGATCTAACACCCGTAGCAGTAAAGCGCGCCCCCTGAACCGCGTTATACGCTGATTTGGCGTCACGTGGGTATAGCGCGCCCCCTGATCCGCGCTATACATGGGTATCTGACACGTGTGTTATAGCGCTATAGCGCGGTGCAGAGGGCGTGTTATACCCCTAAATACACGTCCCCATCTTCCTATAAATACCCTCATCCTCAATCATTTTTATCACATCAAATTCTCTCAAATTCTCTAAATTTCTCTCAAATACTCTATCTTTTTAAGGTATATTTTATAATATTTTTACTATTATGTATTTACTTTATTTAATATTTTACTAATAAAATTCTTTTGCAGATATATAATGGAAGGCAGTCTACTTCGCTCGGATGGAAATCATATATCTCTACACTTTGCTGATACGGTAACATTTTAACGTTTTAATTTAATTTAAATTATTAGTAATATTTAGTTGATTTATTTAATGCATGATTATTAGATTAAGAATTAAATATCTCGACACTTTGCTAATACGGTAATATTTTAACGTTTTAATTTAATTTAAATTATTAGTAATAATTAGTTGATTTATTTAATGCATGATTATTAGATTAAGAATTAAATATCTCGACACTTTGCTAATACGGTAACATTTTAACGTTTTAATTTAATTTAAATTATTATTAATAATTAGTTGATTTATTTAATGCATGATTATTAGAGTAAGAATTAATTTTTGTAATTAATTATTTTTAGGAGAAGGACCGTGTATTAGATCCTTTTATTAGGAATCTTAAGTTAGTGATACTCAGCCGTGTCTTGCCGTATTTAGTAGGGGCTGGATTCGGTTACATAGGTAGATATCAGGGTCACTGTAAGATAGAGCCAGACCTGATTTCTGCCTTAGTAGAGCGGTGGAGGCCGGAGACCCACACATTCCATCTTCCGTGCGGAGAGTGCACGATCACGCTTAAGGATGTTTTTATGCACCTGGGGTTTTTGGTGGATGGAGATGTGATATCGGGGATAGCTTCCGGTTCTTGGACTACATTGTGTCGAGATAGTCTAGGACGTGTCCCGGAAAATTTTATCGGAGGTAGGATACCGTTAAATTGGTTAGATGCCAATTTTCGGGAGTTGAGTGCAGATGCCTCTGAGGATGAGGTTAAGATGTATGCACGGGCATGTATACTGCAGTTGATAGGAGGGTTGTTGATGCCGGACAAATCGCGCAACCTAGTTCACTACATGTGGTTGTGACATCTTAGCGACTTTCGTCTCGCCGGATCATTCAGTTGGGGCTTGACAGTTTTGGCTTTGCTGTATAGGGAGATGTGTGGAGCCACTGACTACAGACGTAATACTATCGGCGGATGTCTCCTGCTGCTGTAGTATTGGGCATGGTATCGATTGCCCTTTTTATGTCATGTTGTGAAGAACCCATTATTATTTCCACTACTTCTGAGGTAATTATAAAACTGATTTTGTATATTAATAATTTTATACAACGTATAACAATTTTTTTCCTTGAATAGGTGGTCTACTGATAGGAAAAATTATCAGGAGCTACCTGATGATTTAGAAAAAATTAGGGTGCTAATCGATCAGAAGGCTGGCACACAAATATGAATTTTAATGTTTAAAAATTGATTTTAGATTATAGTTATATAATTAGATTATTATTTTGATAAAAATTATATATTTTGTTTTAGTTTGAATGGGTGTCATGTTCTACTAATGATGTGAGGGCGGGGTGATCCCACCTGAGTTGAGGGGTCCATCAGATGTTTGGATGGCGATGGTCCCTCTGATCTGTTATGCGACCGTCGAGTGGCACTCTACTGATCGCGTGCTCCGGCAGTTTGGTTGTTTTCAACCAATTCCGGAAGCACCTCGCAATATGGATGAGTTGCATAGCTTAGATAGACGCGACAAGACATATACAGATTGACTGGTAAGGCATCATGGGTGGGTCGTGTTGTGGGAGGATCGACATCGGCGCCTTCCCCGTAGAGAGCCCATTTTTGATGACCTCTTGATGTATACTGAGGATTATTATAAGTGGTTCAACAGTAACCGGAAACCGTTTCTACTTCCCGAGGATACACGAGGGCAGACCTTTCCACGACGTCGACAGAGACGTTCACCGACACAGCACCATCGTCCCCCGACTCGTGGACGGAGAGTAGGTGCTTCCGATTCATCCTCAGCTGCACCATCAGGACCTTCCCAGCAGCCACCACATCCATATATGATGCCGCAACCATATATGATGCCACCATCGCTTTTCCATTACCAGATGTCGCCGCCGCCTTCACCTGGTTTTATGACCCCGCCACCGCCACAGATGACCCCTCCTGGAGGCTATTATGGGTCTATGTTTGTAGATCTGACTTGGGGTTCATATACTGGATATTTGGCGGGTTCAGCCTCATCACCCATGGCCGCAGCACAGACACCTCCTGTACAGTTTTCATACTAGTTTTCGCAGGCCGGTGGAATAATCAGTCATACACCTCCAGGGTCCTTATTCTATGGAGGTGCTTCATCATCATCAGCTCCTCATCAACCTAATGTACCTGCTCAGGACGACGATGACGATGGTGACGACGACAACGATGATGACAGCGATGAGTCAGAACCAGTGATACGAAGAAATCCTCCTCGAGACCGACAGCCACCGCCCTACGGAACACATTCGTGACGCAAGCATCGATAGATTTTTTTATTATATTTGTATTTACTTTATTTTGTTTAATTGTAATTTTTTATTATTTCTCATTTAATACTTACTTTATTTTGTTAAATTTGTTGACTTTTTTTAATATATTTTAGTTAATTTTGTTTATTACCATTAATATCAGTTATTGTAATTTGGTTATCATGTACCATTTAATTCTTATTGTAAGTTTGTTGTATTTAAATACCAAATTGTTATTAGTTTGATAAAATTTAATGATTGTGTTCGTTTTTTTAATCTTCATCAGCGATTATCGAATGACATTAACTTGAAGTAAATGCAAATTAAAATACAAGAATCTGTATCTTCTCCTTTTACAAGAGAAAAAGCAACTGGAAGAATGTTGCGATTGCCATCTTGGACAACTGTCAATAATAAAACTTGCTTGTATTTTCCATACAAGAAAGTCCCGTCGATCTGGACCACAGGCTTACAGTATTTGGCAGTATTAACGCACTGTGGGTAACTCCAAAAAACCCGGTAGAATTGGCATCGATCGCGAAGAACTCGTTCATTATGGTATGCATAGGAGGTTTCGAAGTCCACAATTGTCCCAGGATTCAACGTCTGCACCAGCCTAAACCAACCTGGAAGTTCGTTGTAAGATGCATCTCATTCGCCGTGAAGTTTGACAATGGCATTTTGTTTTGCCAACCAAGTTTTTTTATAGGAGACGGTGTACACATACTGCGATTGTATAGATGAAATCAACACTGCAACAACTATATGAGAGCTTGCTTTTACCATGAGCATGATGGCTTGGCATATCATTTCAGAGTCCAAGTTGGGATGATCTTGGTTGACCCCTCCAGCACAACATGTGTGAGGACCGTTGTATACTGTTAGTTCCCATATGTTGTTTTTCCTCTTTATTTTCGATACGCGAACCATCCAATTGTATCCGTTTTCGCATCGGGCACAGTAGCATACATATTTTTTGGTCAGTCACCGAGATGAGGCATATCCGCAAATTCTGGCCCGTACATTGCACCATAATCAGCTTCATACATGTGTGCAGGAGGGTCAGTTTGTGCCACATTTCCTGGAACTTCATCATCATCGGAGTTGAATTGTGGTGATTCTGGGCGAATGAATAGTCCAGTCTCAGCACCATCCGCACCAGGCTCACGAAGCGGTTATTCTGGTGGAGATGATGGTTCCTCCATGCTATCCACATTTAGGTCGAAGAACCTACTACTTGCACGCCTTCCCCTTGAACTGGAAGGCATATCGACATTGAGATCGAAAAAGCTCACAGTCGAATGCCTCCCCCCCCGGAGCTTGAAGCCATCGTGTCAAATGGAAACTACATAGATGGTTGCGTCGATGACATCTCCATATGGTCAAAGAAATTTGCAGATGAATGCCTTCCCCTTGAACTGGACGCGGTGTTGCCATACGGATTGTTCGTGGACCCACCTCGGTACATATCGTAAGGAGTTGCGGATGAATGTCTCCCCATTATGGTATTAAAATCATTACACATTACTGTAGTCGGGCTGTCAACTTGATCAACATGTTCAGCCAGCCCATAGTGTGAGCTTAAAGATTGACCCCAAACAGCACGCACTTGAACAAAATATGCATACATCTCAATAGCGGCGTCTGAATAATTACTTTGAGCTTCAACCATCATTTGAACATCATCATTGTTTGAAAGTTCGAACGCTGTATAAGTTAATGGCAACAATGATGTTGGAAATCTGTACTGTAACGACGACATTCTTCTGTTACTTCCAACATAAATCTTCCTCGAAATCTTTGTTATCAGCTCCTCAAGAGTTATGTTTCTCTTGAATGATATTTTAACACGCTCATTTGATACGAAAACAATGTTGGTCTCATCTTCTCGAATTTCACCTTCATAATAAACAATAGCTGAAAGTCGCGCCATTGAGTTTAAAAGTGCGGCAATATTATATCTGTAAAAAAATAACTTAAACAAACCTGATTAAATAAATTATATATGAACAAAAATATAACACAAATTTTTTTTACACATCAACGTAAATAATTTAAATAATATAATTTTATATTATTACATGCACCGCAAAACTATTTCGACGTATGCTCCCGCTTTTCAATTTTATAAACATAAAAATTAATTAAAAATAATTAGTATAATATTTTTTCAAATAATGATAATAAACAATAAGTATAATTAAAAAATTATAACAAAATTACCATATAACGAAAAATCGCACGAACTTCTAAATCAAATATAAAAAGATTGCCATAATTATTACTCGTTGACGGAATTGTTGTATTAATTTATAAGAGAGGAGAGATGCGAGGAGATGTGAGGAGAGATGCGTATTTATAAACATATAAGGCGCGTTACCTGCACCCGCGATATATGTAATTATTATATAGCGCGGATCAGGGACCGCGTTAAATATAATTTTGGTACGGCGTATAGCGCGGCCCCTGATCCGCGCTATACCCCTACGTGGCGTATAGCGCAGATCAGGGGGCGCGCTATACCCATGTGGTGCCAGATCACCGTATATCGCGGGGCAGAGGGCGCGCTATACCCACGTGGCGTCAAATCAGCGTATAGCGCGGCCATTGATCCGCGCTATACCCCTACGTGGCGTATAGCGCGGATCAGGGGGCGCGCTATACCCACGTGGTGCCAGATCACCGTATATCGCGGGGCAGAGGGCGCACTATACCCACGTGGCGTCAAATCAGCGTATAGCGCGGTTCAGGGGGCGCGCTTTACTGCTACGGGTGTTAGATCGTGAAATATAATATGACCGATGTTAGATCGATAAATATACCGATCACCGGTGATTTTTGGGAAAAATCGCCACTCTTATTAGTACTTTCCATATAGATATATAACATTCATTTAACCCATCTTTTCCTTTCTTTTTCTTTTATCAAATTAAAGGAAATAATCACTAAAGTTATATCGAATTAAATATAAATATTAATTAATTATTTAATTAATTTTTTATTATAAAAATCAATACCTAATTCTTTTATCGATTAATTCCAATCATTTATTATAAAAATCTATTATAAGAGCAGTCATTTTAATCTAATTAATTAGATTCATAAAATCATAATTTAAATTATTAATTTTAATTACATTTTTAACAAGTTATCATACTAAATCGATGAGTTAATTGCATCGCATGTCCTTAAATTAGTTATTAAATTTTTAAATATTTCAAATTTATCCCTAAATTATTACTATCACTATAAAGTAGTCTTCAAACTTTTGTACATTTTATTTTCATACTCAAACTATGACCTTCATTCTAAATTGACCCTCAAACTTTTTGAACATTTCAATTTTATCCCAAATTATGCGTATATACTAATCATACCCTTTGTTAATAAAATTGTCAGACCAAGGTATATTATTATATGCTTGAAAAAAAAATAGTTTAAGCTATGCTTGAAGCTAATTACATATTTGGATATTTTGGGATGAAATTGAAAGATTCAAAAGTTTGGGGACCAATTTAGAATGAGGGTCATAGTTTGGGGATGAAATTAGAATGTTCAAAAGTTTAAGGACTAATTTATAATAAAAGTAATAGTTAGAAGATAGAATTGAAATATTCAAAAGTTTAAGGACCAATTTAAAATGATTATCATAGTTTGGGGACATATGATGCAATGTAGTAATTGATTTAATCAAGGTCTTTTAGTAGTGTAACTATTGTTTGTAATTGTAGGTGAAGAAGATAGGTAAACAATAAGAGCTCATTTAGTTTATTTGTGGGCATGCTATGAGCTCCTACGTTCATATGATACAATTAATTCATATCAGTTATATTTTAATTTCTTTCTTCTACGAGTTTTAGATGTGATAACTTTAAATTATTATTTTTAGAATGATCCTATTTAAAAAAAATTAGCCTATTGATAACGTACATATCCTACAGACACAACTATTAACACTTAGACTCTCTAAAAAAATCTCCTTTAATCATTAAAACCACTCAATGATGTCCCAAATGAGATTTTTAGAAGTAATTAATCCCATTGAGACTGATATCTCTATAGGGTTTAGACCCATGCATGCTTGTCTTCAACCTATCATCGACAACAAATCCACAATTTTCTTAGGAAGAACACGTATCTATCAAAAAAATTTGATTTTTCTTTTTGATTAATTACTTAATTTATTGATGATGCCTACTTTAAAATCTTATTTATATTCATTTGATTTAAAATATTCATCTCGTTCAAAAAATCATGTCGTTATCGTATATATCAACTTTAAAAAATATTTATGGTCTCTAGTTACCTATCACATTGTGTCCAGTTGTGGAGAGTAAGATTTGAAGTGACAAAGGCTCATTTCATGAATTTACTTAGAGAGGGACCATTGATTGGGGAGACAAATTGCAGAAGAACCATGCACCCAACTGGGCCCTTTGTTTTTGAATTTCCAACTCATTTTTCCTTCAATATTTTATGCAAAACCCTTTCTTAATCAGTATACCCATGTGCCTTCTGTCATCAACTTTATCAGCTGCTGCTTTAATTCTTCTCTTGTAATTTTTGTTTAAATACTTTTGATTTAGCTACATCGAACAATATGATTGCAACACAGTTTATTAATTGCAGCAGCACTACACATTAGCAAGCTGAACCACCAGAAAATGAATGCATTTTTTTTCTTTTCCAAATTTATAAAAATACATAAATTTATAATGATCGTTATTTTTTTATATAGTTTAAAATTCATCTGTTGATATTTGTACGGAATCACTTAGACAAAAGAAACCTTGTCATACGTACTTGCTTACGTACCCACATTCCCTGTCAAACAATGTTTCTGTTTGTCCACGTTTCAACGGAAATGTATAAAAAAAAGACAACTTTACCTAGGTTAAGAAAAGATTTTTTTATTAGAAATGTTAATATTTTTTAATATTTTTAATAGAATAATTTTTAAAATATTATTTTTTACCGAAAATATTAATATCGGAATATATCTAAAATGTTAATATCGAAAATATTTATTTTAAATAGTAAAATTAATATTTTCAATAGAAAAAATAATATTTTAAAATATGTTCTACCAGAAATATTAAAAAATTATTATTTCCGATAACGACTTTTCTTATATTAGGCTAAGTTTCAATGTTTTTCTAACATGTCCTTTACTTTGATTTCGCCAAGGTAAAGGTCATATAAGTTTGCTTATTTTGCCATTTCAAAGATACGTATATTATTATATTTTGAAAATATTGTATTTAAGATTTAAATTTTAATATACACAACAAACTTAATTAGATCAAATTTGCAGGTAAATAGTTTTATTGGTTTTTATGATCAAAATATCAAATTAAAATTTAAACTAAAAGCCATATATAATTTCTTAAAAAAAAGTAAAGTTGTAAGTATTAAAACAGAATAAAAATAATAATTTAATTACCAAACGTGTAGTTTATACTTTGTCCTAATATAATCATAACTCATAAAACCATTAAACTTCTCTCACAGCAATGTTAACAGCCATGAACAGTGAAGAAACATACTTTGTACAAATTATTAAACCCAGAAAAAAAAACTTCATAGTTCTTGGGCTAAGTTGGAGTCACATCAAGGAGAAAAAAAACCCAGATTAATGGGTTCAAAATAGTAGGGGGAAAAAGAGAAGAATCGATGTTAAAAAAAAGAGAAAAAAGAGAAGGTATATAAGATGCTTCTCTCTTCGCCATCTTCATCTTCTCCAAAAGGAAAGCTCCCATTCTCCTAATAACAACTAATTGTCTTTTTTTTTTTGGTTCATCTAAGCATGGAAGTGAGAGATCGAAAAACGACTTCTTCACAAGGGATGGTGAGTCCCATATCGTGGTCGAACCCGAACTCTTCCTCGGCTCGTCGAAGCAAGCACTGGAACTCGGGGTGAGTCAAGAACGAGATGGGGACAATGTACCTGCTCCTGTTCTCGCCGACGTAAACGGCGAAGTGGCCTTTGGGTACGTCGTCGTAGCCGCCGTGTTTCTTGCCTAGACTGGAACATCGCTTCAGGATTTGCTTCAGAACGGCTGTCTGAGGGAGCTTGGATGATTTTCTGATCGCCATTGTTGAGTTGTTTGAAGCAAAGGAAGAGGAATGAGAGGGGGTATTTATTTACGAAGAGAGGAGAGGTCATGTGAGAGTGTGGGGGCAGTGCTATAGGACAAGGGCAAGGCCATAGCCGATGGACAAACCACGGGTCTTGAAATTATATTACACTGGTTTGTTGGATCCATTTATTTGATGGAGTAACATCAGAAATTATACCATTACAGATCTAGAAATACGTGTGTGTATATATATATTAATAATATATAATTTATATATATAGGTGCCCTCAACTGCTTCAAACCGCTAAAACATGTTTTTCTTCAACCATCACTTGAAGACTGTAATAAACTGCTCTCTTTTGGAATCTTTGTACCTCATAAATTGTAATAAATCAACAGTCCCCTAAGTCATGTTTTGTCCATTCTACCACATGCTTTTAGTATTCTATAACTGATATAATGGTACGGGTGTGATGCATAATCCTGTAAGGACATTCCAAATACCGGAAAATCATGAAAAAAAGTTGAAAGAATCATGATTGTGTTCATGGTAGTTCAACCAGTTACTTCAAAAGAAAGTAGGAGGAAGGTCTCTAACTCTCTATGCAACTTGCTGGGTTTGGATTGGACCCACTATAGCAAAGAGATTAAAGGATAGGGCAGTACCTGGTATCCACAAAGCCGAGATGATAATGATAATGACACCATGGAATTATACTGAGATGATATTGAACATCAGTGACAAGACCTATCTAAATGCCAGAGTTGATGACCCCATTTTCATATACATTTATAATAAGTGAACATTTGTTAATGTATAAATAATCATTGTGTATTTATAGTTTAGATGGGGAGTTATAGTCGTGATTCTGATGAGTTGTAGAAGACAATATTTAGTTTAGTTCGTGAAAAAAATCATAATTATAAAGGGGAATAATCTTTTTTTGAATTGTATTACCACATTTGTGTGTGTTTTATTTTTACGTATATAATATGTTAAAAATTCAATAACGCCTAAAATCACTAAAAATTGAAGTATATTAACTGAAGGTAATTGATATTAAAGTTACTTGCCTAATAAGATAAAGAAATACCCTATTGGTATCCTAAACTGTTTAGTTTGAATGGTTAAAATAAAACCCTAAATCCTTTAAGAATCGAAAGCCCACGAATTCTCCCTCCGCACCTCTTCTTCTTCTTCAGGGGTGTAATCGTTCTTGATGTGGAACGTCTTCCGAATCCGCTCCGTCGTCTTTCCCCTCATCATGTCCGCCACCGTTTTGCACATCAAATCCAACAGTTCCTTTATGTTCAAGAAGTTCGCAGCCTGAAATTCATGCAATTCTCACTTTCAAATCATATACAAGCAAGTTTGTTGATATAATTTGTAAATACAAAAGAAGAACTAACCATGGTGAGGTCGAAGATGGTGCCTTGATCAACGTTGACGAAATCCGCGTCCCAAACTTTGAGTTCATTCGAGTTATTTTCGTCGTTGGTTGCAACATCGGCGTGCCTCTTGCAATACTCAAGGACCTTTGATAAGGTCTTACCGGAGACGGTAGGGACGGGGATTTCTTCGTCGGCACAATTGTCCTCGATCATGTTCTTGATCGTCTGCGAAGGAAGCGCCACTGCTTCGACCACCTCAAAAATTTCTCCGTCGAAGCTCTTCAATATTATCTTCTTCGAAGTCGACGACATTGGTGAATGCAAAAACGAAATCTAAAAAGAAAGAGAGCGAAAATCTGAAGTTGACAGTGTATTACTGATAATCACAGGCTGAAATTTTGTGGGGAAATTGTTTGGTATTAATTGAAGGATTTAGCACACAACGTTAACCTAATTTTACTCGGACTAAGCTATTACAAGTTTACAACGAATTAAATTACTTTTCTTGCAAGTAAGAAAAACTACGAAAAAATATTATTATTGTTTTGTTATTTGTTATTTTTATTAATTATTTTTAACACTATTCGCTTAGACTAAATATAAAATAGTTGGCTAAATAAGAAATTAAAAGCAAACTTATTGGTCTGTTTTCATAATAGAGTCGGTTTATACATTAATTTTTTTTTAATTTTATATTATCAAATATATTAAAAATATAAATTTTATATACTAATTATCATCAATCTATCTGTGTATATATATATATATATATTGTGAAAATCTTGTAAAAATCATGCAAGTATGGAATGTGTCCTACAGGCGACAAGTCCTCGCCCGAAGTTCAGAGCTCGACGGATTGCATTTTAGCCTGATTGTTGTCAATGTTCTGCTGCAGTCAATTTGTTTATTTTCGAAGCTGTTATTACCCTCTGGATAATCTGCTTAATGGGAACAAGATGTAAAGGCAGAATATGTTATTCCCAAGGCTTCTTAGTAGCTAACGCATACAAATAAGTATGGGCAGTGGGAATGATCACCCGTTCTACTCACTAATGTAGAGCAAGTGGTAAATCATATGAAGTGATTTTGGAACAATGTAATTCATTTACAGTTCAGTTAAAGATTAAAATAACAAGAAGAATGGAACCATTAGAAATTATGTATAGGAATAAATTCCAATTAAATGATGTATTCACAGTCATTTTCCACGCTGGTTAATTGAAGTTACAATATCCACCATCTCTAATTTTCCACTTAGACGGACTTGTATCTGCTCCCCAAAGGAAAAAAGATGGAAAAAAAGTGTATACATAGCATTAGATGTTTGCTTTACAAAATTGAATTGGTTGATTTGTGCTAATTCTCTCACAATCAATTCAAGAGAGAGGTAACATCAACAAAGATGTCTTCGTTGCAGGGAATTCTGAGACCGCCAGTAGGATGAGTATATCCGAACTCATCTTCAGACATGCCTAGCAAATCTTGAAACAACGGCTGGTTCAAGAAGGACACTGGAATCACAAACCTCTTCTGGTTTTCTCCAATATAAACTGCAAAGTAGCCCTTGGGAACTTTCTTAGAGTTGACAACACGTGGTAGGCGGATAGCCATGTTTTTTTTATAGATGTACACTTCTAAAAGGGAAGAAGAGGAAGATCTAACTGAACTTGGAAAGCAAAGGTAAGGATCTTATGTAGTTGAGAATGTGAAGTTATGTGTTGCCAATGAACTTAAATCTTACTTGTATATATAGATGTATAGGATACAGAGGAAATGATGTTCATCTATAACTAAGTGTAGGGTGTGGAATGAGCAATTGCTGGGGTCTGATCAGTAAAGAGAAAGACATGGCTTCATGAATGGAATCACATGGTGGTGTTTTCCATTATCAAATATTCAATGGCTAAGACTTGAAAGAATAGTTTGCCTACCCCTTCTGGCAGAACAAACCGACTAAGGACCCACTTAAATATGGAAAGATTTGGATCAGTAAAAGGCTTCTTCATAGTTGAGGAGTTGTACTAAGCCATTAATGTTAAGAGGCAACCTTAGAGACATATACTCTGTCGTACAATGGCTGGAAAGAAACATGTAACATGGGTGGTCTTGTAAGACAAACCCCTGTGAAGATTGCCAGAAGTGAGTCCTACAGGCTATAACTAGTATCCACTAGAACCGAATCGGTCGCATGTTGTCTGGGTTATTGTCTTTACTGTTCTGCAATCCAATTGTTACATGAGGGAGAGGACAATATTAAGCCTCACAACTCACCAACTTTCTGGGATAACCTCCCAGAGGAACCTATTTTCAATACAAATTTCTGATGGCATGTTTGTTGAGTTCTCTGCATATATTGACTATCTATTATTACATATAAAGATCGAGTCCAAACTCACTGTTAAATGATTGGGATAAGGGGAGATAAGACGTTAGGTCAAAAGGAAATTAGATGTAATGTATTGAAGTAGAGATTTGATAGCATCAACCATAAACTTCAGGTCACTTTGACTAAAAAGTTGTTACATGTCTTGTTCAACAATTATGCTCAGAGAAAGCTAAAAAGCAATGAGTATTTAGCAGTACTTTTACTCTATCTCAAAATGATCAAATTTCTATTTGATGTTTCATTCACTCGTCTGTATATTTACTTGCAAATACATGAATGGAGTTGAGAGAATTTTCATTAACTAATGGTGATTAACCCATAGAAACAAACAAGTAAAAAGAATCACATGGATTAGTCTATATCATCATTTATAGCTACACTCTATAACAGATTGCAATCTCTACCCTGTGTACTTTTTGTTGATGTACAAAATTTGTTAGTCTTCTCTTAAGATCAATTCAAGTGAGAAATATCATCCAAAAATATGTCTTCATGGCATGGAATTGTAACACCTCCCATCGAATGATCAAACCCAAATTCTTCTGCTTTTCTTAGCAAACTTTGAAACGAAGGTTGATCTCTTCTTTTGTGATTCCCAACATAAACAGGAAAGAAGCCGGCACATCTAAAGATGTTGAAGATCCTTTGATTGCTGTTGAAGCAGATTGGCGAAGGATATGCTTAGAAGCACTGGGAAGATGAATTGCCATTGATTTTCCTTTATGTTTATCTTTGAAAGAAGTACAAAATTTAAAGAAAGCCTTGAATTTGTAATATAAAGACATGACTTGGTTGTGTCTTGTGATCAAAACACACACACACACACACACACGTATATATATAATGTGAAAATCTTGTTAATATCATGCAAGTATGGAAATGTGTGGCATTGCTCGGGCTATGTTAGTATAATGCTTAAGAAATATCACATGGCTTTGTCTTCCAACTCTTATACAAAATTAAGGGCTAAAATAATGTTGTGGTCTGTTTGTTGACAAGAAATGTGCCTACAATTGGAAAGGACCAGTTGGAAATTTAATTTAGATGGGAAAGTTAAAAGATAATAAGAGTAATCTGTAGACAAACCCTTGTGAAGACCGACTGAAATGTGTCCTACAGGCGACAAGTCCTTGCCTGAAATTCAGAGCTCAACAGATTGCATTTTAGCCTGGTTGTTGTCAATGCTCTGCTGCAATCAAATTGTTTATTTCTGAATTTGTTATTACATAATCTGCTCAGAGGGAAAAAGTGCAGGTACTTGCAGGCCTATAACTCTTATTTAACGAGAAGTTGTGAAGGCGAAATATGTTATCGCCATGACTGCTTAATAGCTAACTCATACAAATATTTAGACAGTGGGAATGATAGCTCTTTCTACTCACATGTATAGAGGAAATCATGTGAACGAATTTTGGAACGATGTAATTCATTTACAGTTGAATTAAATATGAAACTAGCAAGAAGAATGGGATCATAGGAAATTATGTAAAGAAATAAAATTTCCGTACTGGTTAATTGTTACAAAATCACATCTTTAATTTTCCACTTAGGGAAACTTGTATCTGCTCCCGAAGGAAAAAAGATGGAAAATAGTGTATACATAGTATTAGATTTTTGCTTTACAAAATTGTACTTGCTGATTTGAGTTAATTCTCTCACAATCAATTCAAGCGAGAGGTAACATCAACAAAGATGTCTTCGTTGCAAGGAATTCTGAGACCGCCAGTAGGATGAGTATATCCGAACTCATCTTCTGACATGCCTAGTAAATCTTGAAACAAAGGTTGGTTCAAGAAGGACACTGGTATCACAAACCTCTTCTGGTTTTCTCCAACATAAACTGCAAAGTAACCCTTGGGAACTTTCTTTGAGCTAATGATACGAGGCAGGTGGATGGCCATGTTTGTTTTCGACAGATATATGCTCCTAAAAGGGAAGAAGTGGAAGATCTCACTGAACTTGGAAAGAAAAGGTAAGGATCTTTAGTATTTGAGAATGCGAAGATAGGTGTTGCCAATAAACTTAATCTTACTTGTATATATAGACTTATAGGGTAGAGAGGAAATGGTGTTCATCTATAATTAAGTGGAGGGTGTGGAATGGGTGGTGAAGGACCAATTGCTGGGGGTCTAATCAGTAATGAGAAAGACATGGCATCATGAATGGAATCACATGGTGTTGTCTTCCAAAAGGATTATCAAATACTCAATGGCTAAGACTTGAAAGAATAGTTTGCTTACCCTTAATGGCAGAACAAACAGACTATGGACCCACTAAAATATGGAAAGATTTGGATCAGTAAAAGGCTTCTTCATACTTGAGGAGTTGTACTACTTAGCCATTAATGTTAAGAGGCAACCTTAGAGACATACTCTGTCGTACAATAACAGGAAGGAAACATGTATCATGGGCGATCTTGACCTTCTATTTCTTGGTTACTTCACTAAAAATGTTAATAAAAAAGAGAAATTTTTTATTTTAAAAGTTGTTTTGATTTGGGTTGGATCTTGTAAGACAAACCCTTTTGAAGATTGCCAGAAGTGTGTCCTACAGGCTACAACTATTATCCACCAGAACCGAATCGGTCTCCTGTTGTCTGGGTTGTTGTCTATACTGTGCTGCAATCCAGTTGTTACATGAGGGAGAAGGACAATATTAAGCCTCACAGCTCACAAAATTTCTGGGATAACCTCAAAGAAGAACCTGTTTTCAATACAAATTTCTGATGGCAAATTTGTTGAGTTCTCTTGCATATATTAACTATCCATTATTACATATAAAGATTGATTCCAAACTCATTGCTAAATGATTTGGATAATTTCATTTAATTATGCTGCTAAAATGTGAAGCCATTCTAAAGGATGACATGTGATATTGTTTTCAGGGTGATTGAGCAGTGTTAATTAATATGCAAAAGAGTACTTGTAGTCTATGCTTCCTTCACTTGAGATTGAGTGTTGACGATTGATGATCAGAGGCCATTAGTGTCTCCAGGTCATCAGTAGCGGTGTTCAAAAATATCTAACCCGTTAATCCAGTTAAAAATTATTAGATATTTATAATGAAAATATATGAATATACGGGCCGGGTACTTGACTCAGTATCTTAAATAAAGCATGTGAGATGTCAAGATGAATTTTCTTTGGATATTGCTGGATTCCATCAACATTTTCTTCTTTCAAATGATAGTTTGGTTGGTGATCAAGTATAGATGTTTTGGCAAATAAAAAATGGAAAATGAATAGCATAACTACACATGAATTGAAAAGAAAGATTCAATATGTTTCAATCATGAAAAGGGAACTACTTCCTCTTGTCAAAAGCCTTTGTCTTGGGCTAAAACAAAGACGAAAAACTATTTACAATGAATTAAGCTTTGTGTCGATGTACAAAATCAGTGTTAGTTGTCTTCACTTGACATCAATTCAAGTGAGAAATAACATCCAAGTATGCATCTTTATGACATGGAATTGTAACACCTCCCATTGGATGATCAAACCCGAACTCTTCTTCAGCTTTACTTAGCAAATCTTGAAACAAAGGTTGACTCAAGAAGGATAGAGGAACCAAAAATCTCTTCTTTTGGGATTCCCCAACATAAACAGGAAAGAAGCCCTTTGGTACATCCAAGGATGTTGAGAATACGTTGTTTTTTGTTAGAGAAGATCGGCAGAGGATATTCTTTGCCGCACTAGGAAGACGAATTGCCGTTGCTTTTCCTTTATGTTTTTCTTTGAGAGAGTGAAAATTTGAAGAAAGCTTTGAATTTGTAAAACAAAGAACTGAGTTGGTTGTGTCTTGTGATCAAAACATAATAATCTATATATATATAACGATATAATGTGAAAATCTTGTAGATCTTGGAGTGAGTGGCTATGAAACAATGGGTTAGGACATTGCTGGAGCCTGGAGAGGGTGTCACATGGTCTTGTCTTCCAATACTTCCACAAATATTAAGGGCTTGAAAATCATACTATTGCATGTTGACAGAACAATGTGGCCTACAAATTACAAAATAGAGTAATCCAGTGCCAGCAAAAGATTGGAGGGGGGGCAGTTAGATACTTTGATGTAGACATATAAATAAAGGAAAAGGGACAGATTGGGGATGATTTTGAGAGAGTTGTGATCAGGGCTTCAAATCGCGGTCGCGTTTTCGGTCATTTCGTTTTTACCGCGATTGCGGCCATAGCGGGCGCTATTGCGGGTGTAGCGGAAGGCAGCGCTACTGCAAAATTGTGGGTGAGCGGGGCGCTATTTGAAACCCTGGTTGTGATATAAAGAAACTTGCATTACTGTGATTTCTGATAAAATATGTGGATAAATAAAAACCCTGTAAATTGCAGAAATGTGTTGCATTGTTAGGATATCGCATAAGAGGTCTAACATGGTCTTTATCTTCCTACTATTCTATAAGATTAAGTACTAAAATAATATTGTAATCTGCTTGTTGACAAACAATGTGCCCTACAATTGGAAAGGACCAGTTGGATATTTGGCTTAGATGGAAAGTAAATTGACAGAGTTAGATACAGATGTAGATGCAGAAATAATAGACCGACATGTCTGCAAGCTTGAGGTTGCTACCGTTGGATTCTTTTTCTTTTTTTCAACGCAAAGGAGACTTTAAAGGCGGAAGATAATAGCTCCAGAATTTTTTAATGTCATTTCATAAGAGTGATTACATAAACCGAACTTTCGTCGGTGCTGAAGATCGGAAATCGGAAAACGGGAAGTCGGGTGCCTAAGATTTTATATTTAGTGCTCTTAGCTTGGCCAGAACATGCTTTGGACATGAAACAAATATATAGAAGCAAAATGTTGGATGCTATAGGGGAATTTTAGACTAGATGTATAAGGGAAATATATATGTTATCCCAAAGGCTTCTTAATGCTTAACGCATACAAATATATATTCGACAGTGGGAATGATAACCCTTTCTACTCACATATATAAAGGAAATCATGTGAACTAATTTTGGAACAATGTAATTCATTTACAGTTATATTAAATATGAAACTAGCAAGAAGAATGGGATCATAGGAAATTATAAAAAGAAATAAATTCTCTGCACTGCTTAATAGTTACAGAATCACCATCTCTAATTTTCCACCAAGGGAGGCTTGTATCTCTTCCCCAAGGGAAATAAAGATGGAAAAAAGTGTTTACATAGCATTTGATGTTTGCTTTACAAAATTGTATTTGTTGATTTGTGCTAATTCTCTCACAATCAATTCAAGCGAGAGGTAACATCGACAAAGATATCTTTTTGTTGCAGGGAATTCTGAGACCGCCAGTAGGAAGAGTATATCCGAACTCATCTTCTGACATGAATAGCAAATCTTGAAACATAGGCTGGTACAAGGACACTGGTATCACAAACCTGGTTTTCTCCAGCATAAACTGCAAAGTAACCCTTGGGAACTTTCTTTGAGCTGATGATATGAGGTAGACGGATAGCCATGTTTGTTTTCGATAGATGTTTGCTTCTGAAAGGAAAAAATAGGAAGATCTCACTGAACTTGGAAAGCAAAGGGAAAGATCTATAGTAGCTGAGAATGTGAAGATAGGTGTTGCCAATGAACTTAATCTTACTAGTATATATAGATGTATAGGGTAGAGAGGAAATGGTGTTCGTCCATAACTAAGTAGAGGGTGTGGAATGAGTGGTGAAGGACCAATTGCTGGGGTCTGATCAGTAATGAGAAAGACATGGCTTCATGAATGGAATCACATGGTGTTGTCTTCCAAAAGGATTATCAAATATTCAATGGCTAAGACTTGAAAGAATAGTTTGCCTACCCCTTCTGGCAGAACAAACCGACTAAGGACCCACTTAAATATGGAAAAAATTTGGATCAGTAAAAGGCTTCTTCATAGTTGATGAGTTGTACTACTTAACCATTAATGTTAAGAGGCAACCTTAGAGACATATACTCAGTCGTACAATGACAGGAAGGAAACATGTAACATGGGCGACCTTGACCTCCTATTTCTCGGTTTCTTCACTAAAAATGGAAATAAAAACAGAAAAAAATTAATTTAAAAGTTGTTTTGATTGGGGTTGGATCTTGTAAGACAAACCCTTCTGAAGATTACCTGAAGTGAGTCCTACAGTCTACTACTAGCATACACCAGAACCGAATCGGTCGAATGTTGTCTGGGTTATTGTCTATACTGTGCTGCAATCCAATTGTTACATCTGGTGGTTAACGGGAAGTTGCTGCGAAACCATACCCTTAGTTGGATCAGCTTCACCACCTAGCTCTTGAGTAGCAAGCTTTAACCGCCGGACCTCCGCGGTTAATGTTTCGTTTAGAGCTGTCCAAATGTAACACAATAAGATAAGGGTCGAGTTATTGAGGCAGAAAATTTAACTGATAAATGAAGACAGCAAATACTGTTAAATCAAAATAGAGTAAAAACTCTAATTGATTGAGAAGAAGAAAAACTCTCTTTAGAATAATCTCACAAAATTGTAAAAGGGAATAATTTTTAAGAAATCTTTCAAATGCTTATAATTAAGCTTTGATTGATGGATGATAAAACTCAAATACAAGTAATGCATTTATAGGTTACAAGAAACAATCTAAACCACTCATTAAAATAAGCACTAAATAATCTAAACCATTGAAATTAAAATATGAGAAAAATACTTAATTTTCACATAACCAAATTAATGTAAGCAATGACATCAAAACTAAATTGATGTAAGCAATAACATCAAATTAATTTAGGTGTAAACTTATTTAGGATAATATTGAATTTTCAACACTCCCCCTCAATGTTAGCCTCCATTCTTTGAATCACGCGATGCTGGCGACGGAAATGTTCAAACTTTCCAATACTCAAGCTTTTTGTAAACAAGTCAACAATTTGCTCATCTGTCTTGATTTGCCTCATCTCAATCTTTTCTTGCAAAACTTTTTCCCTAACAAAGTGGTAATGTACTTCTACATGTTTAGTTCTTGCATGAAAAACAGGATTCTCCGCCATCCGAATTGCCGATTGGTTGTGACAATACAATGGAATTGCATAATCTACTGGTTAATGTAGATTATTTATCAACTGTATCAATCATGTACTCTCTTGAGCTGCCATTGCTGCTGCTCGATACTCGGCTTTAGCGGTTGACAATGATACTGTTGGTTGTCTCATGCTACACGAAGAAATTATTCCGGAGCCAAGCTTAAACACATACCCAGTTGTTGATCTCCTGGTGTCATGATCTCGTGTATAATCAGCATCACAATAACCAACTAACTTGCAGTCTTCACCTTTCTTGTACAAAAGACCATAGTCAATTGTGGTCTTCACATATCTTAGTATTCGTCGAACTGCTTCCAAATGAGGCTTCTTTGGATTTTGCATATATCGACTCATCACACCAACTGCATAAGAAATGTCAGGTCAGGTCAAAGTTAAGTAGATCAAACTACCTACCAATTGTCGATACATTGTTGCATCTTCCAAATCTTTTCCTTCATGTGCACACATTTTGACATTTGGTTCTATTGGCGTTGAAGTTAACTTGCATTTGAGCATTCCAAACCTCTTCAACAAATCTTTAGCATATTTCTGTTGACACAGAAATATTCCTTCGTGTGTACGATCAACCTCTAGACCAAGGAAGTGCTTAAGTTGTCCAAGTTCCTTCATCTGGAAACGAACTGATAAATTCTCCTTTGTCTGAAGAATTTCTGCCTCATCATCACCAGTTATGATTAAGTCATCCACATACACTAGCACGATAGCTAGCTTACCTTCATTGACTTTGACAAACAAGCTAAAATCTACAGGTGTTACTGAATAGCCACTTTTTGTTAGAAATTCAACAATCTTACCATATCACGCTCTAGGTGTTTGTTTCAATCCGTAGAGTACTTTTCGTAGCTTACACACATACTCAGGATGATCTTGACTCTGAAAACCCATTGGTTGGGTCATGTAGATCTCTCGATCTATCTCTCCATGAAGAAAAGCATTCTTCACATCCATCTGCCACAAATTCCAGTCTTTGTTGGCTGCAAGTGCAAGTAGGACTCGTACGGTTGTAAGTTTTGCCACTGGACTAAATGTTTCATCATAGTCTAGTCCATATTGTTGAGAGAAACCACGAGCTACCAATCGTGCCTTGTACCTCTCGATTGACCCATCTGGACGACGCTTTATCTTGTAAACACATTTGCAAGATATAGGTTTCACATCTTTTATCTTTGGCACAAGATCCCAAGTTTGATTTTGCTGAAGTGCATCGATCTCTTCTTTCATAGCTGTCATCCACTCAGAACTCTGCGATGCTTCTTCGAACGTCTCAGGCTCTCTTACTTCTTCAAATTATAAATGCATTGACATATTTAGGATTTGGCCTTCGTATTCTTGTTGACCTTCGGAGTTGAGATTGTGGAATTGATTCTTCTGTTTCACTAGACCCACCTTCTTCATTTGGTTGTTGATTCACGCCAGTTTTCCAAGGATTCTGAGTCACTCTTTGTTTGACATCATCGCTATTTGGATCCTCTGATTCATCTGAACTTATTTGGAGTTGAACAGCATACTCCCCCATCTTTATAGTAGCTTGTCTCCAAATTATCTCGAATCTGGCAATACCTCATTCTATGAGACCCACCAAGAAGATGTTTCATCAAATACCACATTTCGTGACGTGTAGCATCTTCCACTAATTGGATCACAACATTTCCACCCCTTTCTCTGGCTGTCATATCCCACAAAGATACATCTAACAACTTTCTTGTCAAATTTTCTCCGTAAATGATCAGGAACAAACACATAACATACACAGCCAAATACTCGAAAGTAGCTAAATGTAGGTTTTATGTTCCATAGTTTCTCAAAGGGTGAAACAAATCCTAACCTTGGTTGAGGAAGTCTGTTGATCACAAAGGTTGCAGTCCTCATTGCTTCAGCCCAAAAACCTTCCAGGTACATTCTTTGCATGTAGTATACTTCGACAAATTTCTGCAAGATGCCGGTTTTTTCTTTCCGCTACACCATTTTGTTGTGGCGTGTTGGCACAAGTGTACTAATGACGTATTCGACATTCCCTTAGGTATTGAGAGAACTCGTTTGATCTATATTCTCCTCCGTTGTTTGTGCGCAAGCAACATATCTCCTTTCCCACTTCTCCTTCAGCTGAGTCTCTGAACTCTTTAAACTTTGAGAAAGTGTCAGATTTTTCTTTTATAAAGAAAACCCACACATACCTGGAGAAATCATCAATGAATGTTACCATGTACCACATACCACTAATTGATTGTTGCTTAACTGGTCCGAACACATCAGAGTAAATCAACTCCAACGATTTTTTTGCTTTAAACTTCGACTCGTCATATGGTAATTGGTGTGCTTTACCATACTGGCATCCTGCATAGACTGTGTCTGTTCTCACGTCTAGTTGAGGAAGCCACTTAAGCATCGACTTCTTCACCATCACACTTAGCTTGGAATAGCTAACGTGACCTAACCGCATGTGCTATAGATCTGGTGTCTCATTTTTCCTTGTCCTGTCTACATATGCAGACTCTGCTGACATCACGTAAATTGACTCCAAACGTCTTCCCTCCATTGTTGGTGTTTCTGAGATTTTGACGTCACGATAAACCTTCACGTCTTGGGGACCAAATAAGACATAATGGCCTGATGATGTTAGTTGAGCCACATATAACAAATTTTTCTTCATTCCTGGGACATGGTAAACATCTTGAAGTTGGACTTGGTTAGTATTATATCGAGGCGTAAATATTGTCTTACCGATGTGAGTTATCTGTAACCTTGAGTTGTCAGCTGTCACCACCACATGACCTTCATTGTACTCAGACAGGTTTTGCAACTTCTGTTTGTCACCCGTCATATGATTTGAGCAGCCAAAATCTACGATCCAATCATTCTTGTAGTCAATCCGTTCTGGTGTTGTTACCGTGAGAGCTAATTCTTCTTCCTCCGTAGCAAATAACACTTCAACATCCCAACCATCTTCACTATTCTCCTTCGAACTAGAAGTAGCAATATTACTTTCAACAGGTTTTTTCTTGGTCCAACAGTCTTTTTCCATGTGGCCCATCTTCCCACAATTGTAACACTTGCCATCGAACTTTCTACTATTACCGCGATTCTTGGAAGCTCCCCCTGAATGGGGGGCTCCCTTTTCTTGGTAATTTTTCACCTTGTCACCATCCTTTTAGATCCACTGTCAGTATACCGCTGAAAAGTGCCTCCACTTTTGCTGGTGTAGAGCGCTTCTTATTCACCCTTCAGCGAGACTCCTCCCATTTGCTTGGCCATGGCTTCTTGAACTGCAAGCAAATTTTTTAACTCAACAAGCGATGGTTGTGTCGGCCATCCCTGTACAGCGGCAACAAACCCTCGATATTCGGGTCTCAACCCATGGACAATTATTCTTTTTATCCTGGCTTCCCCAATAGCAGTTGTCGGATCTAATTCTGAAATTTCGAGGCATATCGACTTCACCTTGTGAAAGTATTGGGTAACCACCATGTCGTGTTGCGCCATTGATAGAAGTTCATTCTCGAGAAGTTGCAATTTTGTATCGTTCATCTTCGAAAAGAGTATAACAAAAGTGTCCCATGCTTCCTTTGGTGTTTTAACATCCTGGATGTGCTCCAACATTTCTTCTTCAATTGTGGTCTTTAAAGCAAACATTGTTTTGTCTGCTTTAATTTTCCACTTTCGCAAGATACCATTGGCATCTTCTACCGCCGGTTGTGTAACTTCACCACCACCGACAACCTCCCAAAGGTCTTGACCTTGTAAGTATGACTCCATACATGTTGCACACGTGTTGTAGTTTTTATTGTTGAGCTTCTTGATTCCTCCAACTACTTGAAGATCACCCATCTTAACGGCAAGACTTTGACTACACCGAACAAGCTTGAGTAACAAACGTGCAGAGTACTAAATTACTCTAAACACAAAGAAGCTCCACAAGGTTTGTAATAACCCCGACAATAACTCAAGAAATATTTTCTGATGTGGAAGATCAGTTAAAAACTGTAACCACAGAGCATACTCGGAATTTCAAGAGACCTTAAAAACGTGGCTCGGAAACCAATTATTAAATCAAAATAGAGTAAAAACTCTAATTGATTGAGAAGAAGAAAAACTCTCTTTAGAATAATCTCACAAAATTGCAAAAGGGAAGAACTCTTAAGAAAGCTTTCAAATGCTTATAAATAAGCTTTGATTGTTGGATGATAAAACTCAAATACAAGTAGGGTATTTATAGGTTACAAGAAACAATCTAAACCACTCATTAAAATAAGAACTAAATAATCTAAACCATTGAAATTAAAACATGAGAAAAAATACTTAATTTTCACATAACCAAATTGATGTAAACAATGACATCAAAACTAAATTGATGTAAGCAATGGCATCAAATTAATTTAGGTGTAAACTTATTTAGGCTAATATTGAATTTTCAACAAATATGCAGACTACTAACTCCACCTCTGAGACAAGCTAACATGAAGCTCGGCAGGTTTAATACATAAATATCAAAGAACATCTTAATAGAGCTATACAAACAACCATAATAACCATGGACAATTTCACTTCCCAGTTCCTATCTTCGACGACAACTATAATAAGTATGATAGAGAAGGCAAATAAATATAATGCAGTCCGTTGATCCCAAAATCAGATAGTAATGGAGTAACAACAAAGGATTAAAAGTTTGAACCATACATTTCCTATAAAAGATAAGAATATCTTATATGCTGGCACGCGCATAAATATGTCTTAAGAATCTCTCATTCTCAATGGCACTGTAAAAGTAGAAGATGAATATTTGCAGTATTACGAAAAACAGTAAATGAGATACTATGACTTGAAGAATAAAGCATTCACAGCATACAATCTAACACAAGTGAAAAAAATGAAATAAAGCATGCTAATTCAAGAGTAAAATTGCCATATACATCCAATTGATCTCGGTAACTGCATACATTACAATTGAAAAATCTTTCTGTCAAAAGGAGAAGACTAAAGTTCTTAGAAAATGAAATCAGAATATACCATCTCGAAGTTGTGCCTGTTGCTCCATGGCCTGAACACGAAACTTCAACTCGTTGTTCTGGTTTGTAAGCCCAACAGAATCTCTCTGCATCAATTTAAAGTCGAGGATAAGGTAAAGAAAAATCGGAAAAATAAATAACAGTATGTTTGTTGAGTTCTCTACATATAACTATCCATTATTACATAAAAAGATCGATTCCAAACTCATCTATAAATGATTTGGAAAATGTCATTTAATTATGCTGCTAACATGTGAAGCCATCCTAAAGGTGTGATGATAAGAATTAGGGCCTAATACAAAAGGATGACAAGTGATATTGTTTTCAGGGTGATTGAGCTGTGTTGATTAACCCATATGCAAAAGAGTACTTGTAGTCTATGCTTCCTTCACTTGAGGTTGAGTGTTGAAGACGGATGATCAAATTTCATTAAAATTTACTTGTATTTGGATCATTATACTTTATATCGTATTTGAATTTGTTCGACACATTTAATCTAAACAAAATGAGGAGTCCAACTCCATATAACTTAGCATGCTGTATGAAGTAATTCTAGAATAAGGTAGATCATTTGCAGTTAGTTTTAAAGATGGAATCAACATGAAGAAATAAAAATATATTCTGAAAGGAAATAAAATTCCGACCGATGTGCTTTGGACTATCATTTTCCTCACTGATTAATAGAAGTTACAGTAACCACCATCTCTGGTTTTTCACTTAGGCAGACTTATTTCTGCTCCCCAAGGCAAAAGGGATGGAGAAAAATGTTTACATATTGTTAAAATGTTTGCTTTACAAAATTGTATGGGATGATTGTGTTAATTCTCTCACAATCAATTTAAGCGAGAGGTAACATCAACAAAGATGTCTTCATTGCAGGGAATTCTTAGACCACCAGTAGGATGACTATATTCGAACTCTTCTTCCGACAAGCCGAGCAAATCTTGAAATAAAGGACGGTTCAAGAAAGACACCGGTATCACATACCGCCTTTGGCTTTCTCCATCATAAACTGCAAAGTAACCATTGGGAACTTTCTTAGAGCTGACAATACGTGGTAGGCAGATAGCCATGGTCGACTTTGAGTAAGTGGAAGATCTCAGAGAACTTGGAAAGCAAAGGTGATGGATGATCCTTAGTAGTTGAGAATGTGAAAATAGGTGTTGCCAATGAACTCATTCTTACTTTTATATATATATGTATAGGGTAGAGAGGAAATCATGTTCATCCATTATGAAGTGGAGGACGTTGAATGAGTGGCGAAGGAGCAATTGCTGTGGTCCGTCAGTAATGAGAAAAACATGGCTTCATGAGGCCAATCACATGGTGTTGTCTTCCAAAGGATTATCAAGAATTCCATGGCGAAGACATGAAAGAATAGTTTGCCTACTCCTTCCGGCATAACAACCGACTAAGGATCCACTCAAATATGGTAAATTTCAGATCCATAAAACGCAGTAGAAGAGTTGTAACATCCCGCCATTGATGTTACAGACAACCTTTAAGACATATACAGTCTGTCATAAATGACAGGAAACATGTAACATGGGTGGCCTTGACCTCCTATCCACATGCTGACTTCTATCAAAACATGGAAATAAAAGGAGAGAATTTTTTTCTTAAAACTTAAGAAGGAAAGGATCTAGAAATTGATGGTCCCTTATTTATTTATGGGAATCATTAACAGTAGTTGAACAGTAACAAGTAGCTGTTAAAGGCAAGAATAATTCAGAATTTACATGTGCCAGCTCAAATCAGTCGCGTGTTCCTTGATGATTATCTTGTAAGACAAACCCTAGTGAAGGGCGACTGGAGTATGTCCTACAGGCTACAACTAGTCCTCCCCAGAACCCCCATTGGTTCCAGTTTATCCAGGTTGTTATCTATGCTGTGCTGCAATCAAATTGTGTCATGACTTATGAGTGAGAGAGACAATATAAATCCTTACATCTCATCCATATTTTTGGTATGTGTTGCTATATATATTGATAACCCTACAGATGATCCTGTTTCCAATCCAGATTTCTTATGACATGTTTGTTGAGTTCCCTGCATATATTGACTATTCAGAAAGATACGATTTTCTATATAGGTTTATCATCATTATTTGTTGCCTCTCATGATCCACTCAAAACTACAAGAAAGTTCAATGAAGGCTTCACCTGCACATGGAATTAGTGAGACATTCAACCCAAACTCCTCTTCAGCCTGATTTAGCAGTTCTTGTCACGATCAACCGACCGGCGGTCCGGCAAGATACTAGAAATAGCTGGTGCTTTAAGAATGAAACTGGAACTATAAATTGCATCTTTTGGATTGGTCACCAACATAAACAACAAGATGGCCTTTGTTTATTGCTGAACTTGTTGTCACCTTCAAATAATTTTTTCTGTTAATTCAAGATTTGCTTTACTCGATTCGACCATCGATTATTTAACCAATTGAACATCTTTATTTTTAGGTATAGGTTTGAGTTAGCAAGCATTGCCCCAAGATCATACCATAATGACACTAAGATTGATACTAAGTGTTAATAATACATTTATGTTCTTACACATTTCATACTTAATTAGATATGATATATATAAATATGATACATGAATCATACGATATAAGAGGTTATTGAATTATTGTTATTATTTAATGTATCAAGTTTGAGCGGATGATTAATTTCAATCCGAAACATAATAAGAAAGTATCTAGTCCGAATCGAGTCTCACAACTTGAAATCGTTTCTCAGAAACGCGTGGCGATTCAGGCACGCCATGGACATCTCTAGCATTCTACACGAGCGCTGCACGGTCGTCGGAGCTACTTCTACTCTCCCGAGAATGCTTTTGCTAGAAAAAAAAAACATCTTTACCAAAAACACACATCGGCGTTGATTCTTTTGCCGCTGGGGAGACTTCCGGGACACAGAAGACGCTAAGCTCAAAGGGAATCTTAAAATCGGTAGCCATCACAGTTTCCCCGATGAGGAAACGTTTATAATTGGAGTTTTCTGGTAACAAAGCTTTCAACGTTTAGTCTAATTTGCATGTTATATAGGAATGTTGAATGTACATAGTTTTATACTAATGAAACCCTTGTTCTTTGACTTTGAAATATGTTAAACGATAAATCTCTATCCTTTATTTTGATGGGTGATTAATGTAAAGGAAATATGTACAATCTCAGTTTCTAAACAAGTGAGCTACTCGTAAATTCAAACTTTGAAAATGGCAAGTTCTATAGTTAGTTTACATATGGTTTCCCATACACGTCCGATTACAATACAATGCGTTTGGCAAGCTGTTGAAAGATGATCCTTTCTGCACACAGTAAATTGTAGTTTGGAATAGGGAAAGAAAGAAAAGGGGTTTTAAATATTGAAAATTGAATTTTGAACTTATATTAAACACCATTTAATGGTGTCGTGTGTGGGTTACTATATTTATGTGAACGGTTACACAAACTAATACATGTGATATCGTGTTTGGACGGTTACATAAAGATATATGATGTTGTGCATGAACTAATATTTGTGAATTGATACATATAATCTGCATTTAGACAGTTACATAAATTGATACATGTGATGCGTGTGTACGTGTACGTGGATAACTATATGAAGAATTAATATTTACGATATCACACGTAGACAGTTACATAAATTAACATACTATAAAATCACTTGAGCATAATTACATGACTCGGTATCTCGTGTGAATGTTGTTTTTACACAGATGAATACAAAAACCATTTTAAGAATAGTGGGTTTGGTTTAGGGCCACAAGGAGGATATAGGGTTCAGATAAGGTGAATTAAGAGAAGGGTGAAATGGAGAAGAGAACAAAATCCCAATATACCATATGGAGGGGAAGAAGAGGGACACCAGGGTTTTGGTCATAGGGTAATGGGAGAAGAGGTTGAGAACTGAAATCATGACTCCATTTTCTTGCTTTACAATGCAACTGGTATTGACTACTGTTAGGTAGCTTGAGTTGGGATTCTAAAAATGAATGATGTTAATATATTAAGGAAGACTTGAAAGGAAAATTTTTGTTAAGGCCCTACTAAACGAAAAGAATTACAGAATACAAAGGTTAAAACTGTACACAAGAATTGAGAAGAAGAAAAAAGGGGCACAAGAAAAAGATGTTTTGGAATGATTACCAACTACCACTCTAAAGGGTAGCTGCCAAGCTAAAATTGACTAATCATTCCAAAAACATTTACAAACGTATTGCCTAATAATAATCCTACTGCTCCCCTCCCACTAAAACTCAAAACCCCTACAACAATTTCTCTCATCGATCCCACATTGCCTGGAATTTTGCTGGTCTATGCTTCAACCAATGCATCATCTCTCTGTCCAGTTGACTATTACTTAAAACTGCATCTAGCATCGGACTTCCAAAGATTTTCGGACTCATTTTGAATGTCCATATTCGGTCCTTCGGCCACGGTCTCTGCGGTTGCTTCTCCTGCACCAAGAAGAACCATGTTTAAATCAGTAACCATGGGGTTCCCCGGGCAGGTTCCTATTGATGGCAATAATCCATCCAGTCAGATTCTATTGGTTCTCTACATACAAGTTAATTGTGGGAACTCTACTTTTCTATTTGTGACATAAATGATCATTAGCAAATCAAAGACCATCCAATTCACATAACAATCAGGTTAGATATTCACATAAACTAACAAATTCCGCAATGATGCAAAAAAAGCATCCATGTAATCCAAAGAATGATCATTTCGAAAGCATGCGGAGTATCCTCCAAACTATATTTTCAAAGAATTTAAGACAGCATTTGAATCATTACAATTGGATGAAAGAAGCTTACCATCCATGATAGCATAAATTTGACAGTCTTCGGTCCATAAACACGATGCTTCGATGGCTTCTGAATCTTGGAATAGAAGCAACCGATGTCAGGTAATGACAAGCAACCCCTACTTACATTAAACAGGCTGCTATCGGGATCAACACTGGTCTGGTTATACCAAAAAATCAGCTGCCCCAAACAATAATTTTCACCATATGTCTTGCAATATTCCTGAAGTCCTGTGAACTTGTCGGAGTACTTGGGGCTCAGGTCAAGAGGACTAATGTAGACCGGGGGAGAAGTTACTGCTTTGTATTCCTGTCCATAAAATTGATTGATTACATCAAATGATAAACAATACAATAGCATTCTCTACTTTACACTGCCCCCTCTCCCTTTCACACACAAAAAAAGGTTTATACGAAAAATAATAGTAAAAAGACTCACCCGAACTCTTATGAAGCACTTTGTGTAAGCATAAATGTGTATTAAGTCAGCTGCAGCATCATGCCGGCACTTGTATGTACACGGGAGATTCCGAACCTCGTCCCTCAACCTTCAAAACATTAAAATGATTAAAGACCAAATCTTTACTGAAATGAAACAGCACGGGAACACCTTTAACAAGGACAATGCCCTCACCATAACAAAGATTTCTGAAGTTCTTTAAGAATGTTGTCAGACCATGATGGGCAATGGGCTTGAATCTTGGACCTCAAATCATTGAGCATTTCGTCTTCCACGTGAGGAGCCATGCTCTGAAGAAGCTCTTCGACAAGTGATCCCTTGCCTTTCCAGAGAAAGGATACAGCTTCTTCAGGACTGAGTCTCTCTATTGGAGGAGGAGCCTTTTTGGGGTCACCAAACACGCATCTCATAACATACCTCACCTGAAACAGCACCAAAGATGATAACATAAAGATACTGATAGAATATGATCAGAATAGATATGATTTTCTCATACTACAGGATTAACCTCTATATAATTTGATATCATTAACTGCAATGTAATGATTTCAAAAAATAAAGATGACTACCATCCAACCATTAGACAAAACAAAAACAGGAGTAATTCATGAATTCCAAAAAATTTAGAACTCGAAAGTTTTGAAGCTTAGCTCCTCAAAATAATAAACACGAGGTTGAAGTACAGATTAATATTTTATCATGTAGGATAATATTTGAACATAAGTTACAGCCAAATATGTTATTCAGCGACAGAGTGTAATCACCTTGTCAAGAGTAATAGCCAAATTCTGAAGCCTCTGGTTATAGACGCCCTCAGCCTATCTCATTCACAGAAGTATACAATGAGCATTTAAATTTTAACAGT